GGTACCACTCAAGTGTCCTTATCCCCAGTGCAGTGCATGAAGAAAGTTGTCTCAAACCAGCCCCAAACCTCCCCAGCTTAACAGCACTCTGTGCTGGCAGTGGGAAGAGCATCCCCTGCCTCTTCCAGATCAGAACATTCACCTTCCAGCGCCCCAGGAGTGGTCCCTGTCCATCCGGATGTGCCCACCTCAGCTAAGATACAGGCAATTTACTTAGTGCAACATCCCCCATCATCCTGGGTCCTCACATTCCTCCCTCACCCCCTCTCCCCATGGAACTGGGAAGACTGGGCAGTGCTGGGGACATCCACACCCTTTTAGTAGTGCCAGTGACCAGGAGGCCACCACTGCTTAGTCCCATAGCACCTCCTCAAGGTTCTTCGGTGACGAACAACCCTCAAAGACACAACACACGGAGGAGTTGTTGCACAACCCACCCATTAGCCCTAAATTGTATCCCCCACCCTTAGCTGTGGTAGCCCAGGGGCGTTCAGACCTCCTGAGCCCCATGATGGAGGCGTGAGGAGCGCTGGTACATCCACCCTGGGACAACCAGGGTGCCCCCAGCTCCATTGTCCCCCCTGCCCCAAGTGGGGTTGTGGTTGGTAGCCAAGAGGTCCTGCCTCACCCTGCCCTAGGAATGGGGGCTGCTGCCATGGTGGAGCCGCTGGGCCATGCTGATGAGGGAACGGAGCTGCACCAGCTTCAGCGGCCCCACTTGTCGGGGGTCCTGACCCTCCAGCCAGCGCAGCGCCGTCTCCAGGCCTTTGATGGCTTCTCGAGCTGTGGGCAGCAAGGTGTCTCCTCCTTCGCCACCCCTTCTGCCACCTCCATCTCCAGCAGCCGCCTCCTCATCCTCATCCTCCTCTTCCCCATCACCTCCGGGACCTTCCTCCTCAGCGTCCTCTTCCCCATTGTCCTCCTCCGTACCCGGGGCTGCATCGTCCAAGTGCAACCAGTCAGCCACCTCCTCAGGAGCCAAACGCTTGTAGGCCAATGCAGCCAGATGGGTCAAGTCACTGAAGACTTTGCTGTCCCCACCCCCGTCCTCCCCATGTGAGGGGTCTCCATGCTCCTCCTCTCCAGGCTGGGGCTCGAAGGCAGCGCGGAGCCCCAGCAACCAGCACTTTTCAATGGAGCCCGGAGGGATGAGATCCCAGGAGAGCCCGGCCAAGTACAACATGTCCTTGAGGAGGAAAGACCTCACGAAGTCCAGGGGCCCCCCCGAGCCACCGGCAGCGCAAGAGACAGCCAAGCGCAGCAGCTCCCGCTTGTAGAGCTGCTTGAAGGCCAGCACCACCCCTTGCTCCAACGGCGCCGGGATACGGCCTCCAGCTCCCACTGAGCCGCTCCCAGCAGGGCCTTTGGAGAGGAAAAGAGCACGGATGGAGCCGTCGGGTGTCTGCAACGGGGGTGATTCCTCAGGGCCTGTCCTAGAGGAGGGGGAGGCGGCGCTGAGCAGCAGCACAGCCTTCTGCTGCAGGCAGCTCCGGCGCAGGTAGCGTTTGACACCCGGCACGAAGTCCTCGAAGAACCAAGCGCGGAGCAGCGCCGGTCCCAGCCTGGCTTCGGGGCCGTAGCGGTAACAAGCAGGGAATTTCTCCTGGTTGTGGTGGCGGAGACTGGGGGGGTCACGGTGGCTCCCAACCACCAGCGGCTTGAGCTTATGGGCGCCGGTCAAGTTGGCCGCCAGCAGCACGGTGACACGCTCGCGGGGAGCCGGTCGACGCCGAGCCCTGAGCTCACCCGTCTGCCCCGGCAGCAGCTTCCAGTAGAGCCTGGTGATGTTGGCGTTGTAGATCTGCTCATCCCCGTACCCTGCGGCGTCGGAAGCCGCCATGGGCAGGGATTCAGGGCAAGCAGCAGGAGCCCGCTCGGGCTCGGCGGGGAGCCCACCCTCCCCATAGATGCGTTGGCTGGAGATGCCGTGGCGCTTCTGCCAGCGCCAGAACCAGCCGTGGCTGGCTTTGAAGGTACATTCCGGCCCATAGATCTGCCGGGCGAAGGCTTCAGCTTGAGCCTGGATGAGGGGCCCGGAGAGGGGCACCCCGTGCTGCCGGAGAGCCAGGAACCAAGCGTAGACAGCGCGGTCGATCTCCTCCTCGTTGGCCAACCGCATCTTCTTGCGCTGGGTGCCCACCTCCCCGCCGAGCTGCTCCAGGAACCACCGCAGCTTCGCCTCGTCCTTCAGCCACCCCCGGAGCGTGCCGCCCGGCACCCCGAAGGCGCGGCACACCGACGCCTGCCGCTCGCCCTTCTTCACCCTCTCGATGGCCTGCAGCTTGTCCTTGATGGAGTAGGCGCGGCGCAGCGACATCTTCACCGTCACCCGCCCGCCGCCGGCCGCTGCCCGCTTCCCACCCGCCATACCCCCGCCCGCCTCCGGTCCCCCCCCCGGGCACGGAGCCGTGCCCGCTGCCATAGGCCACAGCGGAACCGGGGGGGGGGAAGGGGGCGCGTTATAACCGGGGCCTTTGTCTCCGCTCCCGAGTCCAGCCGGCCGGTGAGGCGGGGCGCCGCGCAGCGCGCATGTGCGTGCCCCCCCCCCCCATTGAGTTGCGCTGCTCCGCTCTCCCCCCTGTTCCTTGTTCTGTTGGTCTCTTCCCCGCTGCGCGCATGGGTTGTACCACTCTGCGATAAGGTGGGGGTTCCTATCTGCTTCCCCTCCCTTCCCTGCTTGCTGCCCGCCCTTCCCGGCTGCTTCACTGTGTGGAAGGGAAGGAGGGAAGATGAGGCCCGCTCCGTGAGTGCTCTGCGTTGTCTCAATCAGCGCACCCACCCTCTCTAACCACCACTATCACCCCCCCCCGCCCCGGGTGTGAGTGGTGCGCGCCGCTCCCACAACCCCCTGTGCGCCGGGTGCTGCCGCCTTTTGGCTGTAGAGGCCGAGCGGAGCGGAGCTCCTGGGGCCTGCCTGGGCCCAGCGCTGCCGGTGAGTGCGGCCTCCCCGCCGGGTTCCCTCATTGCCGCCTTTGAACCTTCCCTAATGGGGTGTTTGGGGGGTCTTTTACTTCTGTCACATCCCTGGGGTGGGAAGTGTCGAGGGCTCCTCGTGGTCTGTGGGGTCCTTTCCGGCTCAGGGGCCGGGAGAAGAGTTTGTGGGATCTCTTTCTCCTCTTACAGCCCTTAGGATGGAGATTATGGTCATCTCACTGCTATATTTGAGGTACCTTCCTGCTTGCGGGCCGCTAAAGGAGGATTTGGGGGGACCTTTTTAGCGATGCGGTGGGAAGGGGGTAATTGGGGGCTGATCTTCTTGTATATGGGAGTATCTTTTCCTGTTACAGTCCCAGGGAAGGGAGGTTGTGGGGTTCCTTCATTGTCAGTGTGGTCCTTTCCCCTTTACAGCTTTGGGAATGTGGACAGAAGCCCCCCCAGAGCCTCTTTGCCCATATCTGTGGTGTACATCTTCCTGAAGCCCTAAGGGAGAGGGCTGGGGGTGCCCTTGGTCCTTGGGTTTACTTTTCCACACTCAAATTCCCAGGGAATAGTGGGGTGACACATTCCTTATGCCCCCCCCAACCTCTTAATTCCCTTTCTTCTTAATAGGTCTGGGAAGGGGGCTGTGGGGGAACTACCCCTGTTCCCTGTGGGTCTCTTTTTTTCCCCTCACGTCCAAGAAAAGAGGATATGGGGGCTTCTCATTACTGGAGAGATCCTTTTCCCCTTCCCAAGCTTAGGGAAGGGGGTTGTAGGGTTCTCCTTATTCTTGAGGGTCACTTCCCTTTCATTACAGGCTCTAGATAACAGCATCCTGTTACCAATGTAAGGGCAGGACGGGCTGATGCAGGAGGGCTCCCTAAACCTGTGACCGCTTCCATGGATTACAGGGAGATATGTTCCCTCTTTGGGATTTTATCCCTGCTACATGAAGCCTCTTTCAGGCTTGGGTGGTTCTTGCCTTCACCCCTGGAGTCCTGAGGGGGAAGGCTCAGGGTGCCCTTGGTCTTTGGGTTTACTTCTCCCCACTCAAATTCCCAGGGGATAGTGGGGTGACCCCCTTTTATGGCCTCTATAATCTTAGTTCCCTTTCCTCTTAATAGGTCTGGGAAGGAGATCATGCCATTCCCTCTTTGGAGGCCCCCTTTTCCCTATAGGGTTTCTTCTACCCCAAGAAAGGAGGATGCAGAGGCCATTATTACCTGGGAGAGCCCTTTTCCCTTCCCACCCATAGGGAAGGGGGGTTGTAGGTCCCTCTTCCTGGGGGTCTTTTGCAAGCTCTGCTGGATGGGCTGATGCTGGAGGTCTCCCTAAACCTGTGCCACCTCCCATAGACTATGGGGGGGACACATTCTCTCTTTTAGGGGGTTGCCTCTGCTACATGAATCTTCTTTCAAGCCTGGGGGGGTGGCAGTGTGGTTCTTCCTCTATTAAGGAGGGGAGCTTAGGGGACCCCCTGTCTCCAGCAGCTCTCGGTCCCTTTGGGGACTGCTCTTTCCCCATCCCTCATCTCGCCAAGAGCCTTTTTTGTTGAGTCACCTGCAAAGGGAGATTCACAAGGAAACTGTCATGTGGCAGCTGCTCCAACTGGAGCAGTGGCCTCATCCAGCCCTGCCCTTGCTCTGTAGGTGCTCTGCTCCCTCCCCTTTCCCTCTCTCCATGTGCGGCTATTCCCAGCCCCTCTGTAACCTTGGCAGTGCCTCCAGCAGCTTGTCCTGCTCCTTCTGGTTCTTGTTTCAGCGACAGCTCACTCGGGAGGCTTCTCTTTCAGGGCTATATTTGGGGTATGGGCAGAGCCAAATGCTTCTGCAGAGGCTGCTGATGTGCTCTCTGGGGGGTTGTGAGGGATTACAGCAGTAGCTAAAGTTGCTGAGGCTGCTACAGTGTCATTGCTCCCCTCCTCCTCTCCAGGAATCTGTATGGATTTGTTCTTTCGTGGCCGCATCATTGGAATTGAGTTGAATCTGATGTTCCCAACCCTTTTGTGTTCAGGGATGAAGGAGAAAAGAACTTCCCTTGGCTGTAGAGCTGTAATTCTTTCCTCTCCTTTTCTAGGTGGGCCTCTTTCTCCCTGACCTTGCAGGTAATGCCTTTTTCTCTTCACCTAAGCAGTTTCCCACTACTTTACCTCATGAAGATGACTTTCCTGCCTTTTCCTACTGCTGATGTCCCCTGTCCTTCATTCTCTTTTCATTATTCGTCAGCAGCATTTGTTTCTTGGAGCCAAGAGTTGTGTTCTTAGGTGGTCACGGTTGGGAATTGTTTCCCTGGCTAAAGGTTAGCATGGAGCTTTGTACAACAGCAGGGGTGATGGTGGGCCCTCTCCTGACTGTGTCCCACTGCTCATGAATTAGGAGAGAGCCACTTCAGCAACTTAAACCATCAGAAGAGCAGTGCAACTCAACCCTTAACATTTCATTTTGCTTTTAACTCCCTGTGTTGACTCAGTATACCAGTATTGAGGGGCTGGATTTGCCCCCTTCAGCTGCAAGAGGCCATCATCAGACCCTCTGGTGTGGAGCCAGCTTTGGTTCTTTGAACTCTGAATCACCAAAAGCAGGAGGTGGGGCAGGGTGGATGCTGGCCTTGTCTTTGCTGTGGAACAGGTAGGTGTGGGGCAGCTGTGTCTGACTGGTTCCTGGATGCCCATCTGGAATGGCTCCTGCTTTTCTGCAGTGGAAGTTTTGGGAAGAGGAGAACCATTTCACTGGGAGGATATGGATAATGCACCTTGAATGTGGTGTAGCCAGTGTGTCAGTCTGAGGTTGTAGAAGAGACCAGGCTGATGCTTGTTACCTTCCTGCTCCTCTCTGTGCCATCAAATGGTCCTTTTCTGGGTTTTATAGCATTTCTTTTTCTGGCTGGTGGTGGGGGTGAGTGGTCAGGAGTTGCTGGTGTCATATTTGAGAGGACAAGAGCACTAAATAGATAACCATGGTCAACATCAGCAGTGCCAGGGCATGGAAGCAGATACACAGATGGAGGACTGGGATAGAATCTCTTGTGCTGAGAACCCATCTGTGCTGGGGGAAGCTGTTTGGACATACAGAAACCAGGACTGACCTTTGGGGCTGCATCTGGGGGGTGTTTTGGAGGTCAAACCACAGCAAGCTCCCCTGTATCTCCATCCAGAGTGTCCCAGTGCCACCTAATCCCCATTTTTGATGTCTTCTCTGAGAAGGGCAGTTGAACCATGGCTGTAATCTCTGTTATGGCTTGCAGAAAATAATGTATCCCTCCAGAAATCAGTGAGGGATGGGATTAGCTCTTGTCTAAAGAGCCTTTCCAAGGCTGTCAGGAACATCTTAAACCACATCCAAGTTCAGTTATTCCTGGGGTTGCTGCTTGCTAACTTGCTGCCTGACTTGCTCCCTTTTGGGAGCAGGCTCATCATTCTTATGAGAGGAACATTTCAGTTCCAGAGCAAGAGCTTGTGCAGTATCTGATAGAATTCAGCTTTCTGGGGGGCTGTGGCAAACATATTTACCACCAGACTCCCCCCAGAACCCCATATTTTGATTCAGAAGAAATACAACTTTCCTATGGTTAAAAGGGAAAAAGTGGTTTTCATTAAACCAACAAATTGAGTTGCCTTTTGGCTCCAGCTTTGGGTAATGTGTTACTTGCTTTTATTTTACTGATCCTTTAAATAAGGGGCTAATGCCTCCCCATAGCTGGAGTCCAAAGATTCTTTTGGATTTAGAGACCTTTTCATTGCCTATTTTTAACTTCCTGCATTTCCCTGCAGTGCTGGAAGTATCACTGATCTTTTCTGGCTTGAAATACCCAGGACGTGGTGACAGGGCAATGCCAAACCCTAAGCACTGAAGGAATAGCTAAGATTAAAAGGATTTCAGGGGTTTGTAGCCCTCTTTAACAGTCCATTAGTTGATTATTTGGCATTGATAAAGATTAATAACAGCATTTCCTTTTCCAGTGGCTTCATGCTCTGCAAAACGCTAGATACTTGCCTGCACTGCACTGGCTATGCAGGAGCCACTCTGGTGTGTGCAGTAAGAGCCCTTAAGCTTTTCTACCCATAGATTTGTGTTTATTAAACACTTTTAATGAAGCTTCTGCCTGTATCTCAAAGTATTAATGTATCTTTGTGCTTAAAAAAGGTAAATTGAATGGAAAACTGCTCTGAAGAATGATTGTAGGCAGCAGATGGATGAGGTTTGAGTGTTAACTGTTTGTGTCACTTTAAGTGCAGGCTGATGGATCCTGAAATCAGCTCTAGTTCCTGTGCTCTGATTTTTGCCAGTGGAGAGCATTGATAAAACTACTTCATGTCCTTTTCATTGTGAAACTTTGTTTGAGGAGGTGAAGCAGTTGGGAACATGAGGAGGAAAGTGTTGAAACAACCACACAGGCTGTGATTTGGTGCTGTGGTAAATCTTTGCTGCCTTAAACCAGATTGAGCAGTGACATGGTGCAGGCACTTGGTCCAAATCAGTTTAAATTTCATCCAGACCCTCTGGAGAGGTGGAGCAAGTCCAGAGCGAGTCCAGATCATCATGACGATGATCAGGGGACTGGAGCACCTCATGTATGGAGACAGGGTGAGAACACTGGGGCTGTTCAGCCTGGAGAAGAGAAGCTGTGTGGAGACCTTAGAGCAGCCTCCAGTGTCTGAAGGGGGCTGCAGGGATGCTGGAGAGGGACTCTTCATCAGGGTCTGCAGTGATAGGACAAGGGGTGATGGATTCAGACTGAAACAGGGGAAGTTCAGGTTGGAGATAAGGAAGAAGCTCTCTACTGTAAGGGTGGTGAGACACTGGAACAGGTTGCCCAAGGAAGCTGTGAATGCTTCATCCCTGGCAGTGTTCAAGGCCAGGTTGGACACAGGGGCTTGGAGCACCCTGCCCTATTGGAAGGTGTCCCTGCCTGTGGCAGGGGGTTGGAGCTGGATGAGCTTTAATGTCCCTTCCAACTGAAACCATTCCAGGATTCTATGACTGTGAGCTCACATGTTGTCTGAAGTAAACTCATGTTGTAGATGAACTGGTAGTGCTTTGCTCTGGTATTAATGGTGTACAGCTCATCAGGCTCCCTGCACCAGCTCAGGTGATGATTTGTGTGATTAAAATCCTTGCATGTGCCTTTTTCTAGCTTCCTCTGGGAAAACTTGTGAACACAGAATAGAAATGACTTTTTTTTTTCCCATCTTTTTAATGCTTATGAACTGTACTTCATTGAGAATCTGGTCTTTATTATAACTTAACCTTGGGTTTAAAGGTCCTAAAGGTTTCCTTAAGAACAGGAAACAAATAGATGCCATAAATACCTTGGATTCATCTGAAAATGGTTTTTCACTTGTGGTAAATTCCCTTTATGAAGAGTTTTTTCCTGGTAAGAATCTGTATATAAATTAACACCTGAATTCCTGTGAGCATATTTAACTGGGGGGGGGAGCTTTTGGGATCCCTTTGGCTTTGGGGGTTTGTGTTACTCCATTGCTAAAATACCCTTTTATGTGTGACTTTGAATGAGTCAGCTGTCTCTGATAAGGCTTTGTAAGCTTAGCCTCATATGTACAACCCTGTGTGAGCCTTAAATTCTACCACAAGCTTCCACATGTTGTATTGCTGCTTTTCCTGAAGGTACTAGGCTTGCTATGCTGCTGGTATTTTATGTCTTCTCTCATTCATAGTATGTTGTTCAGGTTGCTAACTACTGGTAGAAACAGCTACAATGATGTGAATTCATTCTTTGACATGATAATTGATGTATCTTCAGACTTCTTTAAGGTATTGACACTGGGGGACCTGAGCTCCACTTTTGCGCCACCATTGACATAAGAGGTTGGGACCTTCTCTGGCTGGTTCCCTGTCATGATCCTTTGGGATATCTGTATTGTTAGTGCCTTAAAATGGAAACTAAGTGGTTGTCTATGGTGTTGGGTCATGAAGAGAGCTTGGTTCTTGGGAATGAACCAGCTTTTAGTTGGATTGAGTGTGTTATATATGTGGGGAATTAACTATGGTACTTTTGGCTGTTGTCACTCTGCATCCTCTCTCATGAGCTGCTGCAACTTTAGAGTGTGAAACTTGCTCTAACTTTATCCTTTTCTTTAATGCTCTCATAGGAGCTGAAAAAGTAAGTACTCTTGAGCTGCTGTGTGGGTTTTGTACTGTTAAAGGAAATACTAAACCATGCATTTTAGTGGGTCTTGGTCGAATGGGCAATGAAATGCTGATGGGAAGTGAAATATTGACAGGTTGGGACAGTTTGAGCTGTCTTGAGTTGTGTTCGGGTTTCTTGTTGCACCCATAGAACTAGTTGAAGATGTCACCTGTGAGTATAACACCACCTGCATTGGGTTGATGAAGTCTGCTTAATAAGTCATCTGCTTGAAGGCTACAGACTGATTTTCCCTTGGGATAACACAAAGGAATGTGAATGTGGAGCCAAGCAGAGCATGTCAGGCTAATGTGGAAATCCAGTGTTCTGTTTAGGAGCCCTAAGGAGCCTCAAAATCCAAATGTACTGTCCAACCTGTGCACTTTCAGGTGTGCTTTTGCTTTTCCCATGGATTTGGTGCTATTTCAGACCATGTGCACTGCAAAGCAGGACCTTAGTGCACAAGACTTTGACTTTCCATCATTTAACCCTTTTTTCAAGTTTTCCAGTGACTGAAATCCAGGTATTTCTCCTGCAAACCTTGATGTTACCTCTTAATAATCCCATTTAACTTGATACCTCCCATAAAGATTATATTTGAAGAGGGATGCTCTTTGCTACTTAATATAAAAGGTGTAGCAACAAAGCTTATACTGATGAGCAAACCCAAGTTACTACTTGCTTGTAGCCTTGCTCCTACTTTACAGTGTGTGTGCTTCCAGCTGGTGCTGATGCTAACAAGTGGATGAATGTTCACTGCAAGCACTGCTTTGTTTCTAGTTGTCTGTAGTAAGAAGTGGTTTATTGCTCTATAACCCATGTAAAAATGCAGGTGGGGTGTGAAACAACATAAAGACTTTAAAATAAGCCTCAATTTTAGATACTTCTAAAGGTTTTGAGCTGTTTCACTGTGTTAGCAGCAGCTGGTGGAGGAGCAGTCCCACAACTCTAGTAAGAAAATAATCTACTTTTGCTTCTAGTACTTTCTGTCATTGCAATGTAGTATTAAATTGCTTTATTTTAAACTATATGAATTAAAATTGAAAATATAAAGAGGCTAAAGTGTAAGTTCATTGTTTTTACCAGATTCTCAAGCCTTGGACTTGAGGCTTGGCAAATTTTCCAGGAATGGTTGGGCCTATAAAGCCATCAAGTGAAGTCTGGAGGATATTTCAGCTGTAGGTGACTTTGGTTTGTCACAACTAAACCTGAAGCTGTCAGAAACTAAAGACTAAAGAGAACTGGCTTAAAGGTACTGGATTTCAGCCTTTTTATGCAGTAACTCCAGTGATCTGACCATGTAATGCCTGGTAAAGAAGTAGTTATCTTTACCTTGTTACTTACTAGATACGTGAGCACTACTCCAAGTTCTGTACTTGGAAAGAGAATTCCTATTCCATTTCCAACAATCTACACATTAACTGCTTGATTATCTCTTGCCATTTGTAGTAACATATAACCAGGGCAGGAAAACACAAATCAGATGCAGTGGTTTTCATTTCAATGATAAACAAAGCAAATCAGGAGATCTCCAGCTCTTGGTCACCTTTAATAACCAGAAACTGGGGTTTTATGTCAAAAAGGAGTGATAGTTTTTCAGTCAACTCCATCTGCTGGTTTCTGTAGCAGCAGAACGCAATGAGGTGTACGCAACCTCTAAAGATACTCAAGAATTGGGGCATCTTCCTCTAGATGTCTTCCCAAAACAGTAGTTCGGGATACATGACAAGTACTTAAGGAGTAATCCACTAAGTTGGAAGAATCTGTTAGACATTAACCAGGGATTTCACCCCAAAATCATCATATTTTTCCTTGTCTTCAGAAGTGGAATTTGAAGTGTTTTCAGCCAGTGCCTTTATTTTTAAATCATAACATGCAGAATATTTGTCAGGACAGCAGAAATAGAAGGTTATTTTGATTCAGAAACTGTTTGAGGCAGTTTTAAGTTCTGTAGAACACAAGCAAACCAGAACTAAATTGCTCTTTAACCATGAATAACAAGTGTGATGGCTTTTAACACTCTTGTATTACTTAAATCACTGAAGTCTGCTGCATGCCCTTGCTTTATTCACTTTTGCTGCCACTACATTGTTGTGCTTATCTTTTAACGCTGCCACTCTTTGGAGGATGAGGACAAGGAAGCCTCCCTGCCCAGTAGAGAAAGTGTGGGTAGACAAGCACAAGTACGATGAAGCAGAGAGACTGCACTATGAAAGAGAAGCCATGTTAGCTGCTGCAGCTCCAGAGGAGTTCCAGGAGGTAGAGGCTGTCAATGGAGTCTGCAATGAGGACTCTGTTGATGGTGAATTCAAAGGAGACCTGAAGAAAACCAGGAATGGGAAGAAACAAAGGAAAAGGAAGCGTTCTCCCAAGCCCAAGAATGCAGTCTCCAAGTTAGACTCTGTTCTGGCTGGCTTGTTAGCTGACCATGTGTGGTTTGAGAAACCTTTCTATGATCGTGCTGAGAGCATGTACAGGGGGAAACTAGCAGATGGGCAGAGCCAAGAAGCACCTGAGACTGAACTAACTGCTCAGCAGTCCCCTGGCCTAGCTGTTCCTAAGCCAAGGATGCTTTCAGTGGCCCTGTCCTGCTCCCATGGAAGCCTTTCTGCATGTCACCACGTTATACAGGGAGTCTGGATCAACAAGTTTGACTTTGATAAGGCTGAGAAGGTGTTCCTTGAGAAATCTCAGTTCTTTGTGCCTCCGAATGTCCTAACCATCCCACCTGTGTGGTCAAATGATGGCAGCGTTGGGATGAGAACACCGGATGAGGGCTATGGTACAGCCCTGCCTACTCCTGCTACCCCAGGCTTGGCTCCAGACATCGCTGCTGATACCAGTTTGTCTGACTCTGAGCACCAGACAGTGAATGGGAAGCCCCAGCTTTCAAGCCTGCGGGCTCTCATGTCAGAGGTGTGGTTGGAGAAACCTCTGTATGATGATGCTGAGAAGAGCTTCTATGAGAACATGTTTGATGGGCACCCATCGGGCAGAGGCCGACAACAGCAACGCGGGTGCCCCGCAGTGTCAAATAACCACCACGAGGACAAGAAGAACCACAATGGAAAGCAAACAGACATCAACAGACACATGGAGACTGCCACCACCACTCTCCTTCCCAGTGATGCTGAGCAACCTCCTCCTACCACCTTCTTCCTGCATGAGGACAGTGAGACTGTGTGGCTCAATAAGCCAACATATGACCGTGCTGAGGCACGCTTCTATGCAGCAGAGGCTCTGCGAATGTCAAGAACAGGAGAAACTCCACTGGGAATGCAGGAATCAACAGTGGTAGAGCCCTCCCAAGCAGCTGCTTGTGATTCAAGCCTACCTGCTCCAGAAACAAAGTAGGACAAGTTTGTTCTGGGGTAACATTCACACACGCAAAGCTCCTGGGTCAGGATTGAGCTGAAGGAGTTCTCGTGTGTAGAAGATGGTCCTTTGTGTCTGCAGAACCAAGGGGCCTGTTTGGGGCAGGGTAACTGGGGGAACCTCCTTCAAGGAACCCCCTTCTCATGAACACTGGTGACTCAAGGTGTGGTGCCAGAGGTTAAGGGGTTTAAAGTTTGACCCTCTCTTTACATGGGGGGAACCCAGGGCCATGTCTCTTCATTCCTATTACATACAGAAGGTCAGTAAAGTGGGAAGTTGGAGTAATACATGGTTTAAGCAGTGTTGCTGAGATGACAGAAGATGCAGTGTTTCATTTTTGAGTTTAAGAGGTTAAAGTAGCAGCTGTTTGCTGTTGTATTTGTGCTAAATGCCACAAGATCCTTCAGGGAAGCAGTTTACCCCCAGCTCTCTTGTAGAGCACATGGTCATTTAGCTCCGTGAGAGAGGTATCCACATTCGAGTGTCACTAGGAGTATACAGCTCGAAGAAGGCTTGGGAATGACAGTGAAATACTATTTAAAACATCAGTTTGGTGGGAGCATGTGCTGTGTTTGATGGGTTAGACTTTTCAGGCTGGAATCTGCTGTTTGTTTTGGGATGGGACTAACTGGATTTATTGGAAGGGTTTTACAGCCTATACATCAAGTGCTGTTGGCAAGTTACATAGAAGCTTTAGGTGAGCCTTTCACCCTCTCTGATTTAGGATAATGTTCTCTTTCTGTTCAGGGCTGGGTTGGATGGGGCTTGGAGCAACCTGCTGTAGTGAAAGGTGTCCCTGCCCATGGCAGGGGGTTGGAACTGGATGAGCTTTAAGGTCCCTTCCATCCTAAACCATCCCATGATTCTCTATTACTAGTCGGCAGCTCAAGCAGGGTCTTGGAGGCTTGAGTTCTGAGAATGGCATCAATGTAGAGAAGATGTACAGTGTGGTGGCCTCTGCTCCCTTCTGCATGGGTAGGTGAGGAAGGTGATTGTTCTGCAGAGGACTCATCTGGTGGCTTCTGTGGAAGTGTTCTTCAGAAGAGTTACTGGCTTTTGAGGTTTGAAACTAATTGCTGTCTCTGTGTTGTGTGGTGGAACCTGGTTGTGATGCTCCATCCGTGCTCTGCCCACCTCTTCAAACTGATGTTGGCTCTGTAGCTGTCCCCTGGCTTGAAATGAGAGCATGTCCTCTTCCTCTTGCAAGGGCTCCATCATTCCCCTTCCAGACCAGAAATGAAACCATCTTTGGAAGCTGCTGTACTGCGGGGAGACACTGCCATTCCACAGCACTGTTAAGGTGTTTTATGCTGTTCCTCCATCCAGTGACAGGCATCTGCCCCTTGCAAGTGGTACATTGCTGCTGATTTTAACTTACAGAAGGCTTCAGCAGCTTCCAAAGAGGCAGGTGGGTCATTGTGAATTGTGTATATAGCTGGATTCCAGGAGGCTGATCCCTATGGATGTCAGGCTTGGCTGTTCCTTACAGAAGGATTAGGTGGTGGTGCACCTAGTGAAGCATGGCATGACTACGTAGAGACATGTAGTAGCTTAAAACAGCTCCTGGTTGCTGTTTGTGAGTGGTTATGTCCAGATTTGCCCTGTCACAGAGACCCTCTTGTTGACACATGCTGTTTGGAGCAGTGTATCTTTCAGTCTTTGGTTTCACCATGATGAGGCATCTTAAAAGCAGTTGATTCTCATACACAAGACATCTTAGCAGCAGAGTCCCATGTGCTCCATCCTACATGTAGAATGATGTAGAAAATCAAGCTCCAAAAGCTTTTTCTTGTGGGAGAAGGCACAGACCAGCTGATTTAGTTCTCCCTTGGTGGTGTGTCACTAAATGCAGGTCAGGCAGATGGGTGGAAGATTACTGCTCTGCTTTCATAACAGGATCCTATTGACTTAAAGCTTTCTGCTGGAGGGGGAAGCACCAAGCAGAGAGCTGCTGGCAGAGCTTTATGGGGAAAGGAAACACACTTCTGACAAGCTCATTGCAAGCTGCCACTCTCCTGTACTTCCAGAAACTCACTTTGGGCTTTTTCTTTCCCTTCCTGCAGCAAAATGGCAGTGGACTACTTTCTGCATGAGAAGATCTGGTTTGACAAGTACAAATATGATGATGCTGAGAGAAGATACTATGAGCAGATGAATGGGCCACTTGGCAGCTCCTCGCACCAGCAGGTAATGCTTGTTCTTAGATGGGGTTTAACAGTGCTAGAGCTCTGAGAGCCAGCACAGAGCAAGTGAAAGGACATTATCCACCTGAATGGGGACTTTTGGATTAATTCCACTCTTGGTGCTGTTCTTGCCAAGGGTGAATCTTCTCTTCAGCTCTTTAAGCTTCAGTTATGCCCCTTTTGTCTTCTAAGAGGCTGTCCTCTGTGGTCTGTGAAGTATTTCTCCTGTACAAGTGTATTGGGAGATCAGACACCCTTGTAACAGAAGATCCAGTTACAGGTTGCAGCAGTTGATCTGTTCATGCTGCTGATGCTGTCTGGGATCTGGGGGTACAGTTCGAGCTGTGTTCCTTTGGACTGGGCTGGGTAAAGAATGGACCTGTCCCTGTGCAGCCATGGAAGATGGAGCAGCTGAGCTTTATATCCCTTGGCAAGGGATGCATGACATAATGTTTGAAGAGAGTCACCATGGCTCTTTAGAGACCAGGAGAGTTAGGTTCTTCTCTGTGCTGTACCCTCTGAATTACTCAGTGCACTCCTGCAGAAGACTCCAGCACAGTACTGGTGAGCTGGGGGAGCTGGTGGAGGGGAATCATGGTGCTGCTGAAGTGATTCAAGCTTAAATATTAGCCTGAAATGGTGCCTCTTTAAAGGTGCAGTTCTATCGCAACCTCTTCCTGCTGTGTAAAGAGCTGTTCACTGCTTATGCCTTTATCTAGAAGCTGCTTAGAGTTTTAAATGGCTTGCAAGTGGTTTAGGGGAAGTGTTTGCTTAAGAGCTTCTAGGCACACTCTTGTCTATTCCTGCTGCCCAATGCTGGTATAGTGGTGGCACAGCATGAAAATAAGAAGCTATAGGTGAGCTCTTTAGGTAGGTGTTAAAGTGTGAACCTCTGCAGTGCTCTTAGAACACTTAGCTCCTTACATGGCATGACATAGTCTTCCAATGATGTTCTGCCTATGAGATATGAAGTAAAGGCTCTGGTGGAGAGTCTGCAGCAGTTTATCAGCCACTTTCCTGCTAAGGAAAAAGATCCCCACTCCTTAAAACCTTCCTGCAACCTGGAAGCAGAATCCACCTCAATGTGCCTCTGTTGCTCTTCTGTGGTGTATTTGGCATGGGGTTTTGGGCAGTTTCATGTCTCAGATCTTGCCTGTGGGGTTGTAGTCTGGGAGAGACAACGAGTGAATGGCTCATGGAAACTGAATTTGTGCTCTAGAAGTGAATCTTCAAATCCAGGTCAAATCCAGGCTAAGGGACGGCAGCAGGAGCATGGAGGGAGGGATAACTTGTGCTGCTGTGCTCTGGGTCATACCTTTCTGGAGAGAAGCCTTCAGTTAGAGCTGTCACTTCTTGCCTGCATACAGTGACAGGTAATACTATGAAAGCAGGCTGTTTAATGATAGATCTCTTAGGAACACTGAAGTGATTCCAGCCCCCTGCCTGGCTCCTCAGCTGCCCTAAGCATTCAGGATGATATAAAGAACCTAAAACCTCTTGACTGGACGATCCTGTGGACACGTGTCCTGATGTGACCAAGGATTGATTCAGAACCAGTCCTTCTTTCAGCTCATTTAGCAATACTCACTGAGCCATTGGAAGGACCCCATCCCCTACCTCCCCTTTTGATTTCTCATTTCCCTGACCAGTTTTTGCTGTTTCCTCTCTTTTCTTAAAAGCAATCTTGGTTCTTTCTGCACTGTTTGCAGGAGAACGGAGCCAGCACGATCCTCCGCGACATTGCCAGAGCCAGGGAGAATATCCAGAAATCACTGGCCGGAGTGAGTACCAAAGCTCTCACCACCTGGCTACCTGCAACCATATGGAGCTGTGGTGCATCTCACAGAGCTGTGCTGTGACCACTTCATAGATCATGTGGCTTCTTTTTGAATTTAGAAGGGGAAAGACTTGAGGTGTGCAGTGCTATGTACCCACCAGCATAGCTTCATCCCATCAAGAGCACTGTTCCTACTAGAGTGCATGCTGCTTACCTGCTTGCTAGCTTGCAGTGCTGCTTAAAACTAACTGCATTTGGGGTTAAATTACTCATTTCTATGCACTTCTTTTCATTGTATTCTGGTGGAATGTTCCCACAAGTCTTATCCAACAGGTTACAAGTGGCTGGTACAATAACCTTGCTGAGTAGCAAAGCACTGAGCTGCCAGCAGGAGTATGTGTGGCTCTCCTGGGCTGCCACCTTCTCTTTCCTGTTTTGCTTTCAGTTAGGGTATGTGCAAAGAGATGGTGTCTTCCATCTTCTGCATCTAAGGAGTTCACCTTGGCTACACCCTCTGAGTCTGGACTATTCTGTAGAAGCTCAGTAATACCCTTTCTGGAGGGTTTTTTGTGCTGATATCTACAGACAGCACTTAACTTTTCAGTAGGAAGCTGAGATCTTAAGTTCATACTCGACTGGTTTTGTGGGTGAAGAAAACTCATGGAATACAGCCCATGTGTCTTGATTTCTTACCTCTGTAGTGGGATACCTCCACATACCTTCCATCTGAGTATATCCATCTTTTCATCTACATTGATTTGGCCTCGTAATTCCCTCTTGGGGTATTTAAGACCCTCAGTTTCTATTTGATCAGTACAAAACCAGGGAATTGAGCCTTTCTCAAGGGGAATATTTCACATTCCTCTTTAAGACAACGTACTTGGGTTGAATATGAAGGACTTGGGTTAAATGCTTTCCCCATGGTGGTTTCACTATGCCTGTAGAACTTGATACTGCAAAAGCAACTTCTGCAACTGCTCATGTGAGTGATCAGAGATAGAGGTACAGGAAGCTTGGAAGTGGATGCAGGAAGAGCAGGGAAATTTGATGGAAGGATTAGAGTCAGTGGTCTTGAATAGAGCATGGGAATGAATGGGAAGTTGAGATATCTTAGTAATATTATAGAGCATGGGAATGAATGGGAAGTTGAGATATCTTAGTAATATTAAAACCAAACCATGTCAAGCAGGTAAACAGTTGTAAGGTTCCTAATGCTGGTTTCTTATTTCAGCATCAGTATTTCAGTAAGCAGCTTAGGGGAGGTTTTCCTGAAGTGAATAACTGAAGTTCATATCTGGAATAATGAGTTTGGGCTTCAGATAGAGACTGCCCACCCCTGTCAATGAATTTTAGCTTCCTGCTGTAGTGGAAGGTGTCCCTGCCCATGGCAGGGGTTGGAACTGGTTGAGCTTTAAGGTCCTTTCCAACCCAAACCATTCTATGATGCTATGACTTCAGTAAGGCAAGTATGTGGGGAAATGTATTTTTTCCTCACATATAGCACCCCCCCATCCCAAACAGAGTTGAAGAACTCTGCACAGATCATATTAAATGCCTTTGGAAAGACTTTTTCCAGCTGGATGAGGTTCCTTCTTCCTCCAGGTCCTACCTTCTCCAGGAATAAAGCTGGATGATGTAGGGACAGGAACATCACCCAGCACTGCTGCTCCTCTGCCCTGAAGGCATATTCTCATCTTACAGAATGGTCTGTGGTTTGAGGAGTTTCTTGCCCTGGCCTGTGCCTCCTGCTAAAGAGCTTCTCTGTGTGAGAAACATGTAAGTTGGGATCCTGCAGGTCCTGTAATAAGGAATATATTTAACCTATAGCTCCCATTCTGCTCCTGAAGTATGGAGTTGCTGGGATAAGCAGAGCACATGGAAATTGTGACCTGCTTCTTATTTTGTAATCCCATTTAATTGGTCAGGTTTTACCCTGGCTTATATGGCACCTTTTCAGCTTTTCCACATATTTCCACACCTCTTCCCTGGAACCTGAAGCTGTAAATCCCTTTGTGCTCAGTGTGTGGGTCACAAAGGCTGAGCTGTTGAGAAACAAGTCTGAAACCTCAGCTTTTGTAGCTGGTGTTTCTGGAGGGTCATCATTGAACTTGGACAGTGGTGACATAAAGAAGGTTTGACTTTAGAACATGCTTAACTTTGGCTTTATGCTTCAGGAAGCCAAACTTACACTGTGTGATCTACAGATCAATAGTGAAGCCTGTTTTTATGGTCAGGATTTAGCCTTTCCTTCCACCTGAACATGCAGATGTAGCAAGTGAAGAGTTGGCTCTTACAGGATGGGAAGATGGAAGATGAGTGCCTTTCTCTTGCTGTAAAGTTCAAGCAAAGCTGGTTTCAGATCAGCTGCAGATAGTGATGTTCCGAACTGTGTGAGTGAGCATTAGGTTTAACGTGATGCTTGTACCTTTCAAAGGAGGGTTTGAAGCTCTTATGCTGGAAACATTTATTTGCACATCCCTTTCATCCCGTTTTGCATGTTCATCTCTGCTTTCAGCAGTCTCTAGCTGATTTCCACTCCATCACTTTATAAAAAGCTGTTGACAAGTTCAGTGCTGGTGTTGGTGGCATTGAAGCTGCAGGTGATGGGAAATCTCACAGCCTGGGGACCTGAGGCATGGACAGGATGGACTTGCTTGAGATCATGAGCCAGTCCAGCACAGTGCGTGACTTGAGTCTGCACTTCCTGCACCCTCTCTGGAGATGGGAACCAAAAGGATGTCACCGCTGTGGGAGTCTGAAGCTTTGTTACTCCCAAGCTTCCTCTTACAAAGCTTCCTTCATCTCCTGCCTGTGGCTTCAAACAAGAAAAGCTCCTGGAAAACCTCTTGCTAAAGTGTTTGGAGAGCACTTTCTGTGAGCAGGTCACACCACCTGCAGGGAACCAGCCAGGATCCATCCGGGGGGGAAACCCTCTTCTAGCTCAGCATCACTTCCCCACAGGTCAGCTTTCTCTGTCTGACCATGGTGAAACTTTCCATGCTTCCAGAGCTCAGATCAACCTGAAGGGAAGGCTGTCACTAAAGGAAGAGCTGTTTGATAGCTCCAGATACAACTTGTAGTGAGGGAAGTGCCAGTTTCCAGCTGTGTCTTCTGGTTGGGACTGGCATACCGAGGGAAGAGCTCTTAGATGTAATTGTCCAGACAAAGTTTCAGCTGATAGACAGAAATCTGTCTGGGCAAGAGCTCTTCCTTTGCCATGTCAGGGAGTTCACAGAGCACTCAAGAGCTAATGTAGAATCCCAGACTGCTTTGTGTTGGAAGGGACCTTAAAGCTCATCCAGTTCAAACCTCTGCCACAGGCAGGAACACTTTTCACTGGAGCAGCTTGCTCCAAGCCCCTGTGTCCAACCTGGCCTTGAACACTGCCAGGGATGGGGCAGCCACAGCTTCTCTGGGCACCCTGTGCCAGCACCTCAGCACCTTCACAGGATAGAGCTTCTGCCTAAGAGCTCAGCTCAGTCTCCCCTCTGGCAGGTTCAAGCCATTCCCCTTGGCCTGTCCCTACAGGCCCTTGTCCCAAGCCCCTCTCCAGGTTTCCTGCAGCCCCTTTAGGCACTGGGGCTGCTCTAAGGTCTCCCCTTCAGGAGCCTTCTCTTCTCCAGGCTGCCCCAGCTCAGCTCTCTCCGCCTGGCTCCAGAGCAGAGCTGCTCCATGGCCTCCCCTGCACTCACTTAAGCAGGTCCATGATCCCAGAATAGCCAGTTGCCAGGACAAGCAGAGAAATGTTGGAATGTTTCAGCATGTGGCTTGGAAGCATGATTTAGGGCTTCAAACTGCCAAATATCTGTGGTGCTTTCTGCTTACCTAATGAATCAGCTGCTTATGGAAAGGAACCCAGCTGCATCTCTCTGCAGGTGACACAGCTCCTGTGTTTGCCACAGCTCCTGTTGAGTCACAACAAGAAGTGCTTTTCCAAGGGCTGGGGATGGATGTGACTCTTGCTGGGAGTCATTTGTCACTGTATTAACTTTAACCTTGGCCTGGGTGATGGAGCTAGAGCAGGAAGAGGTCAGGCAACGGGTTCATCTGAGCTTGAATTTGAAGGGCTCACCCTGGTGTGGGGAGCCCATAGTGGCTTCCAGCCTCTGTTCTTCGTGGTGCACGCAAGGGTAGAAGCCCACAGAGGCTTCTCATCAAGTTTTCAGTGCAGATCAGTGTTGTGTTGCTTTACTTCTCTGTAGGAGAGATGCATTAGTGGTGATTGTGGACTTAAGGCAACTTTGCATGTGGTTCTGCATCTGCCAGGCGTTAGGTGTCATTTAAATGATAGGAGAACTGGCTGGGGCTGCACCTCTGATGTTACAGATGCCTGTGACCATGCTTTAGACACCTCAGCCCATCTCTGCCACCCAGCTGTGTGACCTTGAAGCTGGCAGAGCTCATGGATGGATGTCTCTGCAGGTTTTGGTTGGTGTGAGGCTGCATCTCGTTGCTTGATGACTTTCCCTGCATGTGGATCCGCTTCCTGCACTTGAGCTGCCTTTTCCAGCTGAGTGAAATCCTTTCTGTCTCTCGTGTTAAACCAATCATCCCCCAAACCTTTTGCCCTTTGCAGCAGAAGACAGTGCCTCGGAGCAAAGAAGCTCCTTCTGCCCGTCACAAGAGGCAGTCGCGCCACTCAGCTGTAAGTCCCTGTGCACGGGTGAGCTGTTGTGTGAGGCTGAGAGGACACCGTAGGGCAAAGACAGCCCTCCCTACCTTGGAGAGATGGACCAAGTGCTCCTTCTTTACCATGAGACCAGTCTGTCTTTGCCATGTGGTTGTAGCTGCTGTGTAACATGGGGCGTTGAGGTCTCCCGGCTTGGTGTGTGAGGACTATAAAGGATGTGTTGGAGAATGAGTTGTTTCATGGTGCTTTTGACATCTGTCCCATGCCCCTTTTTAAGTGGAGAAAGGGTCCTTTTGGCCCTCCCAGTAGGAGCAGCTCATGCTATTCCATGTACATCCCAGAGCCAAGCATTTTCCAGGCCTGCTTTCCTTGTGCCACTTAATCTTAATCCCTGTATTTCCCTCTCCATTTTCAGTGACTACTGAAATCTTCATCATAGAATCACAGTCTGGTGTGGGTTGGAAGGGACCCCTTCCACTAGAGCAGGGTGCTCCAAGCCCCTGTGTCCAACCTGGCCCTGAACACTGCCAGGGATGGGGCAGCCACAGCTTCTCTGGGCACCCTGTGCCAGCGCCTCAGCACCCTCACAATAAGGAATTTCTTCCTTATATCCAACCTGAATCTCTCATTTCAGTTTGAACCCATTCCCCCTTGTCCTGTCACCACATGTTCGTGTCAAAAGTCCCTCTCCAACATCCTTGTAGCCCTGTTCAGACACTGGAAGCTGCTCTGAGGTCTCCACACAGCTTCTCTTCTCCAGGCTGAACAGACCCAATGTTCTCAGCCTGTCTCCATACAGGAGGTGCTCCAGCCCCTGATCATCCTCATGGCCTCCTCTGGACTTGCTCCAACAGCTCCATGTTCTTCTGATGCTGAGGACACCAGAACTGCAACCAGTGCTGCAAGTGGGGTCTCATGAGAGCAGAGTAGAGGGGCAGGATCACCTCCTTTGGTCATGCTGTATCATGTCAACTACAACCAAGACCCATGTTACAATTAGTGCAGGGTGCACTTGGAAGGAGTATAAATGATTTTCTCTATTTTACACAATTCTAAATAACAAGGTGTGATTGTTTCAATTTCCCTTTTCCAATATGAATTTATAGTTAAGGGCCTCCTTACACGAAAGCTTTTTCTTACTGTTAAACCAAATACTCTCAAAGCTAGGTCACTGTAATTGCTCCCTCAGGATGTGTTGAAGTAGGTTTTCAGAAGACTTGAAAGGCTGGATTGGGGAAGGTGGGAGTAAAGAAATGTTGGGATCTCTTTCCTGTTCTCCCAGTGACTTGCTGGGTGATGTTACATGGGTCACCTCTGTACTTCATGCCTCAGTTTGTAAGAGGAGACCAGTTTCCTTATTCAGGGGGCTTAGTGTGGAACTGCTCAGTGACAATCTGTGACCTGAGACTGTAAAGAATGACTTTATCCTTTGCTCATCAGTTCCAGCTTGAATATCTTGAGATGCATTTCATGCTTCATCCTCTAGAGATAGCAAATTCTTTCTTATAAAGCCTTTAGAGAAAACATCCTTGTTCTATGATTAGCTTCCTAATTTGCTCCTTCCCTGAAGGCATAACCCTGCTTTGCTTCACTGAGCTCAGGAGTAGGTGAACAGATGGGTTTCATCTCTGTTTTCCTTGTTGCAGGTTTCAAGCACATCCTCTTCTGGACCTTCTGGTGACCAAAATGATCTCCTCTCCAGAATTTCTCACCTGGAGGCAGAAAACCAAAACCTACGTAGTGGTAAGTAGAACCTGCTGGCACGATGAGGCCCTGCTTCTGTGGGGTATATCCCTTGTCTGGGACATTGGCCTTATCTGTCACCAGGTGAGCACATCCCAGAATCTGGTTTGGGTTGGAAGGGACCTTAAAGCTCATCCAGTTCCAACCCCCTGCCAGTGTCTGGCTCAGAGCTTTGCAGGTTTCCCTCTGACTGGGGCAACTGGTGGTTCTTTAAAGCCCACTTTGAGCAGAAGCAAGTTGTCCTGACTTGAGAGCTGGTGTCGAACCTACAAGATCTTTGGTGTTTCTTCTCCCCCCCCCCCACCTCTCCTGGCAGTTGTTTCAGACCTTCAGATGGCCATCTTCAAACTGGAAAGCCGCCTGAATGCTCTGGAGAAGTCCTCTACCTCCCACCAGCCCTCACCAGTTCCTCCAACCCAGGTGAGCCTCAGCCAAGTGCTGTTCATAGAATCATGGAATGGTTTGGGTTGGAAGGGACCTTAAAGCTCCTCCAGCTCCAACTCCTGTCATGGGCAGGGACCCCTTCCACTAGAGCAGGGTGCTCCAAGCCCCTGTGTCCAACCTGGCCTTGAGCACTGCCAGGGATGGGGCAGCCACAGCTTCTCTGGGCACCCTGTGCCAGCGCCTCAGCACCCTCACAGGGAAGAGCTTCTGCCTAAGAGCTCAGCTCAGTCTCCCCTCAGGCAGGTTCAAGCCATTCCCCTTGGCCTGTCCCTACAGGCCCTTGTCCCAAGCCCCTCTCCAGGTTTCCTGCAGCCCTTCAGGCACTGGAGCTGCTCTAAGGTCTCTTCTTCAGGAGCCTTCTCTTCTCCAGGCTGACCCAGCCCACATGTCACCTATAGGAATGTATTTAATTACATTAAAGATAAAGCTTTGTGGAAGCTGAATGTGTGGCATCAGTTTGATCATTCCTTATTGTAGGTTGCAAGATGTGGTACTGGTTTCTGCAGTAAGCCTGCAGAATGTGTAGGGATGTCCTCATGCTAGAAGATACTTGGTCCCATTCCCAGCTGCTATCCCACCTGAGCCTTTAGGAGGAGGATGAGCTCTTGGCTACGTGGTGGTTTTACTCCAGGAGTACAACTATAGCTATGCTGGGCCAGTTCAAAGGTCCATTTGGTTGAATGGCCTGTTTTGATGGCCAATAGCTGATCCTTCACACGAATCACACAGTGTGGACCATGTTTAGTGTTTTGAGCAATGTCAGTTCCTGTTTCTGAGCTTCCCTTGAGTCTCTGATTCAACCTCAGCTTAACCTTCTCCCCTTTTTCCTTCCTGTGAACTTGAATGTGCATCACCCTACCAAAGAAAGTGGAGCCATTCAGTGTTCCCTCCAAGAAGGTGGAGCTCCCTTCTGCTTCACCAGCAAAGAAACCAGAGCCAGCTGCTGCAGAGGAAGATGATGATAACGACATCGACCTCTTTGGGAGTGATGATGAGGAGGAAGACCAAGAGGCTGCTAAAGTCCGGGAGGAGAGACTGCGGCAGTACGCAGAGAAGAAGGCCAAGAAACCAGGTCTTATTGCCAAGTCCTCAATCCTTCTGGATGTGAAACCAGTGAGTAGCTGAAGTGGGAGAGCTCCTGCGTGAGGTTGTAACTATCTGTTCCATGTCTGAGTAGACTGGTGAAGATAGGACCAGTGGATTTCCAAACCAAGGGTTGGAGTGAGGTGGGGTGTTAAAGCGTCTTTGCTGCTGTGTTGCACCATGACAAGTGTAGGCTGGTATCTGAGGTTCCCCTAACCAGGCTTAGTCCTTTTACCTGAAGGAATATCAGGTAATAAATGTCCTAAATATGGGAATTGGAATAGCTTGGGTTCCAGCCCCTGCCACAGCAGGGACCCCTTCCACTAGAGCAGGGTGCTCCAGGCCCCTGTGTCCAACCTGGCCTTGAACACTGCCAGGGATGGGGCAGCCACAGCTTCTCTGGGCACCCTGTGCCAGCGCCTCAGCACCCTCACAGGGAAGAGCTTCTGCCTAAGAGCTCAGCTCAGTCTCCCCTCAGGCAGGTTCAAGCCATTCCCCTTGGTCTGTCCCTACAGGCCCTTGTCCAAGGCCCCTCTCCAGGGGTAACCACATCTTTGTCTAAGTTACCACAGCAGAACAAGAGCTCTGGGCTGTGCTACACCCTTGTTACAACCCGCTCTAAAGTGAGCACTCCAAAGCAGTTGTGTTGCTGCAGGGAGAACCCTCCTAACATCTGTAGTAGTGCCTGTGGGTAGAATTGAACACACCCTGTAGCAAAGTCAGATTTAGCTTCACTAACCAAGTTGTGGTGCAAAAGAGTGGCCAAGAAAGAGCCACTTGGATCAGCTGGAACTTAGAGATGAGATGTTGAATCAGTCACTTGGCTCTAGGAGAACCCTAATGTTCCTTCTTCATGCTTTTGCAGTGGGATGATGAGACTGACATGGCAAAGATGGAGGAGTGTGTCCGGTCCATCCACATGGACGGCTTGGTGTGGGGAGCCTCCAAACTGGTCCCAGTAGGTTATGGCATTAAGAAGCTCCAAATCCAGTGTGTGGTGGAAGATGAGAAAGTTGGAACAGACATCCTGGAGGAGGAGATCACCAAGTTTGAAGACTATGTAAGTCTTGGGGCAAGCTGGGTGATGTCTGACCCTTTGGGTCATTTTTAACTTAAGGTGGTCCTGCAGGTATTGGAAAACTTGGACTTTTCATAGAAAAATCATGGAATTGATGGTTTCTCCCTGCTGAGACACTTCTAAGTATAGAATCATGGAATCAACCAGGTTGGCAAAGCCCTTTAAGCTCACCCAGTCCAACCATTCCCAGCACTGCCAAGGCCACCACTAACCCATGGCACTGAGGCCTCGTCTCCACGCTGTGTGAACACTTGCAGGGACGGTGACTGCAGCCCTGCCCTGGGCAGCCTGTTCCAATGCCTGAGCACCCTCTGGGGCAGGAATTGTTCCTCAGCTCCATCTAAACCTGCCCTGGTGCAGCTTGAGGCCGGTTCCTCTTGTCCCATCCCTTGTTCCTTGGGAGCAGAGCCCAGCCCCTCCTGGCTCCATCCTCCTGTCAGGCACTTGTAGGGAGCCATCAGGTCCCCCCTGAGCCTTCTCTTCTCCATCTGAACCCCCCAGGTCCCTCAGCCCTTCCCCATCACACTTGTGCTCCAGGCCCTGCACCAGCTCCATTGCCCTTCTCTGGCCCCACTCCAGCCCCTCAATGTCTCTCTTGCAGTGAGGGGCCCAGCACTGAACACAGGATTTGAGGTTCAGCCTCACCAGTGCCACAATCACTGCCCTGGCCCTGCTGCCGCACTGATGCTGATCCAGGCCAGGATGCTGTTGGCTTCTTGGCTGCCTGGGCACAAGCTGCTCATGTTCAGCTCCATCAGTCAGCACCCCCAGGTCCTTTTCCCTGAGCAATTTCCAGTCACTCTCCCCCAAGCCAGGAGCATTCCATGGGGTTGTTGTGACCCAAATGTAGCACTTTGCATGTTGAACCTCATCCCACTGACCACAGCCCATGGATCCAGCATGGCCAGATACCCCTGCAGGGCCTCCATCCTCTAGCAGATCAACACTCCAACAACAGCCGAGCCCTGAGGGACACCACTAGTGACCAGTCACCAACTGGAGCTGTCTCCATCCCCATCCTTCTCTCTGTGCAGGTGATTTTAAGAGCTCCAGCTCTGTGCCAGTTGATGCACAAGCTCAGTACAACTTAGTCTCACTCTTGGTGACATGGCTTGGTGGTGGCCTTAGTTCTGGTTGGACTTGATGATCTTAAAGGTCTTTCCCCTCCTGGTTGACTCTGTGTTGAGAGAGCACCGTGGGTTTATTAATCTTTGCCTCCTCTTCCTTATATTTAATCAGGAAGTTTTGGTCTTTACTCTTCCTGTTCCCAGAAACTTGGTTCTTCACAGGCTGAGCCATCTAAAGACCCCTGCAATGACCAGCACAGCATCCTGTTGTGACTGGTGTCACCAAGAACGTTCAAGAAACACCCCTTAAACTTACACAGCTTGGAGCTGATCTAAGGGACCTGGTTGAGCATCGCTTGTGCCTGTTGTGAAGGAATCCCTTATCCAAGAGCTTTATTAATGCCTGAAACCACGTTGGTGACCTCTAAGCTGCTGCTTTTGTTCCCTTTCAGGTGCAGAGTGTTGACATTGCTGCTTTCAACAAGATCTAGAAGAAAAACCGTATCTACCCCCTCTGAAACTGTAACTAATAAAGATGGAGATTGGGAGTGCAGATTGGGGTGGTTTTCTCTGCCAAGTGCAGCTTCTCCCGAGGGATTTGTTGGGAAGCTTTGGGATATTTCCCTTCCTTGTTCCCTTTGTAACAGCCCTTAGGGGTTGAAATGAACATGGGAGTGGTAGCCTATGCGGAGGGGGCTACCAAATTGGGATCACCCCAGGCTGGGATGAATCAGCAGGAAGCATCCAGGAATTGCTGTTTCAGGGCTGCATTTCCTCCCTCTTTTCCCCTTGTTGCTCTTTCTCTCCTGCACAGTGGCTTCAGCTGATCATTGGGTTGAGGAGGAGCCCTGTGGAAAGGGGAGGTGCCATTTCTGGCCCCTGTCACTGTGCCAGAGTCCAGAGTCCAGGCTGGAGTCACACAGGGAGCAAACGGGAGGTGACAATGGCTCCAGGGCCCATGTGGTACCTGGTGTGGCTGCTTTGGGCCGGGCCTGGTGGTGGCATCTCAGGTGCTGGGGCTGATGCACTTGGTGCCTGTTGCACACGCTGTCCCTTGTCCCTGTGTTGCTGTGGCTGGTGTTTCGTCCCGGCTGGTGTGTGATGGGTGCTGTGCTGCTTGATGGGCTCTTGGGTGTCCCTCTTGTCTCATGCTGCTGTCCCCAGAGTCCTATGTGAAAGCTGGAGCCGTGTGTGCCTGCTGCTGGCCATGCAGTGTCCCATCAACCAGTCCCAGGTGCCCTGTGTCCCTAGTCCCACCCATGATCAGTGCACCAGAAGCCTGGTGCTTTGGGCACCCTTTTCCTGTCTGGGTATCCCATGTTCCGTCCTCCCTGGGCCATTTGTCCCTTAAGCCACCAATGTCCCATATGCCTGGTGGAGGGATGTTGGGTGTCCTGGGTACCCAGTGTGCCATCTGCCTATGTGCTGTCACCCATGGTGTCCAGTGACCTCTCTGGGCCGCCATCCCTGTGCCCTTGTGTGCAGCCACCCCTGGTGCATGTGTGTCCCGTGTCCCTGTGTGCTGCCATCCATAGTGCCCTTGCATTCTGCTGTCTCCGTGCCTCATCTCCCCTCTGCATTGACACCCTTGTGTCCTATGTCCCCGTATGCCCCATCCCCTCACTGCTGCCATCCCTATGTCCCTGTGTCTCTGGTGTCCTGTTCCCCTCCTGTGTACCTGGTGTCCTGTTACCTGTGTGTCCCCATGTGCTCCCATTTGTGTTGCCATGTGTGCTGCCATCCCTGCACTGTTTCCCCTCTGCTGTTGCTGTGTGTCCGTGTGTGCTCCATCTCCCATTGTCTGGTGTTCCCATGTGCTGCTGTCCTTAAGTGTCCGGTCCCCGGTGTGCTGCTATCCCTATATCCCCATGTGTTGCCATCCCTGGTGCCACGTGTGCCCCGTTCCCTCTCTCTGCTGCCATCCCTCTGTCCAGTGTCCCAGCGTCCCACATCCCTGCATGTCCGGGATCCCCTGTGTGCTGCTGTCCCTGTGCCTCATCTCTCTCTGCTGACACCCTCGTGTCCTATATCCCCATATGCCCCCTCCCCTCACTGCTGCCATCCCTATGTCCCTGTATGCCCCCTCCCCTCACTGCTGCCATCCCTGTGTCCCTGTGTGTGCCCTCCCCTCACTGCTGCCATCCCTATGTCCCTGTGTGTCTGGTGTCCTCAAGTGCTCCATCCCTGTGTGTCCTGTTCCCCCCAGTGTGCCTGATGTCCTCATCCCTGGTCTCCTGTGACCTGTGTGTCCCTGTGTGCTGCCATCCCTGCACCATTTCCCCTCTCTGTTGCTGCTCTGTGTGTCCCTGTGTCCCTGTGTGCTCCATCTCCTGTTGTCCCTATGTGCTGCTGTCCTTGAGTGTCCGGGCGCCCGTGTCCTGTGTTGCCATCCCTGGTGCCATGTGTGCCCCGTTCCCTCTCTCTGCTGCCATCCCTCTGTGTCCAGTGTCCCTGCATCCCTGTGTTCTGCCATCCCTGCATGCCCAGTGTCCCCTGTGCAGATGGATTCCACAGCTCGTTAAAGTTGGAAAGCAGGTATGCTTTATTCAGCGCTGAGGCGCATGGGGGACAGCTCCTCCAAAGGCATGTGCATCTTAGTGTCGTTTCCTCTTTCCATTTATCCTCTGCAGTTATACATATGCATGAGGTTGCACAACACGGCTATCCATATTCATATCCCTGATCCGTATTATAATGAGCTAAGAAGTCCTTTGCGCCTGCGCGGTGCCGCCTGGTGGTCTTGGGCGAGGGTCTCATGATGAAGTAAAGGAGTCTTCCTCAAGCTTGGACTCCTTGGGTCGTTACGCATGCTCCAACCGGCCTGGGCATTGGCCAAAGCGCAGAGCCAATTCCAACCGGCCTGGGCGCCCAAAGGAACAGGGATCAAGTCACGGTCCCTACCTCTTAACGGTAGCCACGTCCTTGTGTCTTGTGCTAGCACACACGGTGAGCGCTGTACGCATAACGAGCAGTAGCATCGTTAAGCGAGGGGCTCGATCTACCCGCTTGCCCATGGTGAGTGCGCTAAGCAGAAGCAAGCAGTAACACGCAAGCAGCTTGCCCTGCTCACGGGTGAGCCCTGCGGGCCCCGTTAGCGGTGCTCCCGGTGCTCTCCGTGCCCTGCGGGCCCCGTTAGCGGTGCTCCCGGTGCGCTCCGTGCCCTGCGGGCCCCGTTACCGGTGCTCCCGGTGCGCTCCGTGCCCTGCGGGCCCCGTTACCGGTGTTACCGGTGCGCTCCGTGCCCTGCGGGCCCCGTTACCGGTGCTCCCGGTGCGCTCCGTGCCCTGCGGGCCCCGTTACCGGTGCTCCCGGTGCGCTCCGTGCCCTGCGGGCCCCGTTACCGGTGCTCCCGGTGCGCTCCGTGCCCTGCGAGCCCCGTTACCGGTGTTACCGGTGCGCTCCGTGCCCTGCGAGCCCCGTTACCGGTGTTACCGGTGCTCCCGGCTCCCTCCTCCTCCCTCCGGTGCCCGCGCCCCGCCCGCCGCTCCCAGGCTGCCCCGCGCGGGTCCATGTCTCCGCTCACCGACCTCTACCAGCTCACCATGGCCTACGGGCACTGGCGGGCCCGGCGCCACCGCGCCCCGGCCGCGGCCGAGCTCTTCTTCCGCCGCGGGCCCTTCGGCGGCTCCTTGGCGCTGGGCGCGGGCCTGGCCGAGGCTCTGCGCTGCCTGCGGGCCTTCCGCTTCTCCAACGCGGGTGCGTGCGGGGCGGGGGGGGGCAGCAGCGCCAGGGGGGTGCGAGGAGTGAGGAGGGAGCGGAGCCAGGCGGAGAGAGCGGGGCTGGGGCAGCCTGGAGGAGAGAAGGGTCCTGAAGGGGAGACCTTAGAGCAGCTCCAGTGCCTGAAGGGGATCAAGGGAACCTGGAGAGGGGCTTGGGACAAGGGCCTGCAGGGACAGGCCAAGGGGAATGGCTTGAACCTGCCCGAGGGGAGACTGAGCTGAGCTCTTAGGCAGAAGCTCTTCCCTGTGAGGGTGCTGAGGCGCTGGCACAGGGTGCCCAGAGAAGCTGTGGCTGCCCCATCCCTGGCAGTGTTCAAGGCCAGGTTGGACACAGGGGCTTGGAGCAAGCTGCTCCAGTGGAAGGGGTCCATGTACATTGAACTGGATGAGCTTTAAGGTCCCTTCCAGCCCAAACCATTCCATGATTCGATGTCCAGTGGGACATGGGGGGCAGTGAACATGAACAACCCTCAGGGAAACACGGGAGGCCCTCCATGAGAACAGAGGGGGCTCCCTCAGGAGTACCCTGCCCCCCAAGTCCCCCTCTATCTCATCACATCCCTTCCTGGGTGCTGTTCAGTGCCCCCTGCCTATAAGGGCCGTGTCCTCACCCAGCTCTGCCCCCGCAGACGTCGCCTACCTGCGCTCCGTGCTGCCCAGCACCACCGAGGACGCCTTCTTCGAGTACCTGTCCACGCTGGACGCCTCCGAGGTGACCGTGTCGGCTGCACCGGAGGGCTCCGTCGTCTTCCCCAGGGTGGGAATTGCTGCTCCCCTCCCGTGCTCTGCAGGGGCCGTGGGGCCGCCGGCTCCCACATCCCAGGATGGGGACGGGACCTCAGCGCTGAGGTGTCCTCGCAGGTCCCGTTCCTGCAGGTGAAGGGGCCGCTGCTGGTGGTGCAGCTGCTGGAGACCATGCTGCTGTGCTTGGTGAGCTACGCCAGGTAGGGCTCCGGGCACCCCGCTGCTGGGGACAGCAGCATCTCCTCCGGGTCCCACCGTGGGGACCACATCCCCTGTGGTTGAGTGGAGAAGGTGCTGAAGCCCCCCCTGCTCTTGGCTGTGAGCTGGCTCCGTGTTCAGCCTGGCTCGGTGTGACCTGTCCCTTCCTCCCATAGCCTGGTGGCCACGAACGCTGCCCGCTTCCGCCTCCTCGCTGGTCCAGACGTGAAGCTCATAGAGATGGGGCTGCGCCGCGCTCAGGGGCCGGATGGTGCCCTTTCAGCATCCAAGTACTCCTACATCGGGGGTGAGTGAGGCCCTGGGGTGCCCGGTGGCACCGTGGCTGTGTCATTACTGGTGTGTCCACCCCATCCCTCCTCACAGGCTTTGACAGCACCAGCAATGTCCTGGCGGGGAAGCTCTACGACATCCCAGTGTGTGGCACCATCGCCCATTCCTTCATCATGTCCTTCACCTCGCTGGAGGAGGTGCAGCCCCGGGTGAGCGTCGCTGCGGGCAGGGGATGGGGATGGGGTGGAGATGAGATGGGGTGGGGTGGAGATGGGGATAGGGATGGGATGGGGATGGTATGGGAATGGGAATGAGATGGGGATGAGGGTAGTATGGGAATGGAGATGGGATGGGGTGGGGTGGAGATGGGGATAGGTATGGGATGGAGGTGGGAATGGGAATGAGATGGAGATGAGGATAGTATGGGAATGGAGATGGAATAGGGATGGGGTGGGGTGGAGATGGGGATAGGATGGGGATGGTATGGGAATGAGATGGGGATGAGGATAGTATGGGAATGGAGATGGGATAGGGATGAGATGGGGTGGGGTAGAGATGGGGATAGGGATGGGATGGGGATGGAGGTAGGAATGGGGATGAGGATTGTATGTGAATGGAGATAGGGTGGGGTGGAGATGGGGATAGGGAGGGTATGGGAATGGGGATGGATGTAGGAATGGGAATGAGATGGGGATGAGGATAGTAGGGAATGGAGATGGGATAGGGATGAGATGGGGATGGGAATGGAGATGGGATGGGGACAGGGGTGGTGTGGCGATAGTATGGGAATGGAGATGGGATAGGGATAGGATGGGAATGGAGATGGGATGGGGACAGGGGTGGTGTGGCGATAGTATGGGAATGGAGATGGGATAGGGATAGGATGGGGATGGGGATGATACGGAGTTGGGATGGAGATGGGGATGGATGCTCTGCCCATGGCACCATGGAGGATGCAAAGCCCATGTTCTCCGGGCAGGAGGTGCTGCCGCAGGCAGGAGGAGAGCCAGTGGATCTCCTGGCCCTGGCCGTGTCCTGGCTGCAGCGGGTGTGTGAGCTGCTGCAGACCCCTCCTGAGAGGGCGAACCAGGGGGAACTGGCTGCGTTCGTGTCCTACGCCATCACCTTCCCCAGTAACTTCCAGGGGCTGCTGGACACCTACTGCGTGAGGAGGTGGGAATGCCGAGTCCCACAGCGGGGCTTTGTCGCTGTGGCAGCGGGGATGGGCGCATCCCTCCTTGCTTGGTGGCCTTCAAGCAGGGATAGAGCCGTAGATCCCTACACTGGTGAATTCTGCCTTTATAGAACCATGGAATGGTTTGGGTTGGAAGGGACCTTAAAGCTCCTCCAGCTCCAACCCCTGCCACAGACAGGGACACCTTCCACTGGAGCAGGGTGCTCCAAGCCCCTGTGTCCAACCTGGCCTTGAACACTGCCAGGGATGGAGCATTTACCACTTCCTTAGGCAGCCTGTTCCAGTGCCTCACAGTAAAGAATTCCTTCCTTACATCCAACCTAAATCTTCCCTGTTTCAGTCTGAACCCATCACCCCTTGTCCTGTCACTGCAGTCCCTGATGAAGAGTCCCTCTCCAGCATCCCTATAGCCCCCTTCAGACACTGGAAGCTGCTCTGAGGTCTCCACGCAGCTTCTCTTCTCCAGGCTGAACAGCCCCAATGTTCTCAGCCTGGCTCCATACAGGAGCTGCTCCAGCCCCTGAGCATCCTCGTAGCCTCCTCTGGAGTTGCTCCAACAGCTCCATGTCAACATGAGAAGGACACGGAGCTGTTGGATTTCCACCTGCAGCATTCCCAAACTCCACTGTTGCCTCATTGACCTGCTGGATCCATCCTAGGTCCCTGTCCCCAGTCAATGGGCATTAACCCTCTCCTCCTCCATCCCAGGAGTGGGTTGCCCAACTTCTGTGCGGTGGCGCTGGCGCTGCAGCAGTTGGGGTACCGCGCCATTGGCGTGCGCCTGGACAGCGGGGACCTGGCCAAGCAGTCCAAGGAGATCCGCCGGGTGCTGCGAGCCTGTGGAGCTCAGTGAGTCCCACACCAAACCCAGGTCATGGGGGTGATGGGAGCGGAGTCCTGGGTCCCCCAAACCCTTCACCCCATCCCTTGTTCCTCCCCAGCTTCCAGGTGCCCTGGTTTGAGACCATCCCCATCGCTGTCAGCAACGACATCAGTGAGCAGAGCCTGGAGGAGTTCAGCAGGGAGGTGAGGTGGCTCCTCACCGTGGCCTTTGCTGAGGTTTGGGGTGGATGTGGGTCACCGGGGATGTTCTCCCTGGGAGACAACAGAGAAGAGTTTCCAGGGTAGGAAAAACGGGGCTTTTGGGGTGGGATGGATGGACACAGACACCTCTGGGCAGAGCCGTGCCCCATGGCTTTGTGATGGGCTTTTGGTGATCCCTGTCTTCCCTTTGCACCAGGGGAGTGAGATAGACATGATCGGCATCGGGGCCAACCTGGTGACGTGTCCCCTGCAGCCATCCCTGGGCTGTGTCTACAAGGTAGAGGTGGCAGCAGCTCTTGGTCCTGCTTGGCCTGGGGGGGCTCCCTGGGATCTCCTGGGCTTTGCAAGGCTGGGGATGAGGAGTGAAGGGGGATCCATCCTCCAGCTCCAACCCCTACCATGGGCAAGGACCCCTTCCACTGCAGCAGGGTGCTCCAAGCCCGTGTCCAACCTGGCCTTGAACCCTGCCAGGGATGGGGCAGCCACAGCTTCTCTGGGCACCCTGTGCCAGCGCCTCAGCACCCTCACAGGGAAGAGCTTCTGCCTAAGAGCTCAGCTCAGTCTCCCCTCGGGCAGGTTCAAGCCATTCCCCTTGGCCTGTCCCTACAGGCCCTTGTCCCAAGCCCCTCCCCAGGTTTCCTGCAGCCCCTTTAGGCACTGGGGCTGCTCCCAGGCCTCCCCTTCATGGATATAACATTGATGAGCACCGCAGGGAGGAGCTTGCAGACAAATGTCCAACTCTGGGGTGGTTTGAGGGTTCTTTCATCACTTCTTGCACCAGTGGCCTCCCCAGCTCATGGGGACACTCGCAGAGGGCACAGGACTCAGCAGGTCTTCAGCACCACCCTGAATTGGTGCCTGTGACAGAAATAAGGTGCCCATCCCCTTAATCGACTTTTGCAGCTGGTGGAGGTCAATGGCTCCCCGTGCCTGAAGCTCACTGAAGATGAGGAGAAGATGACAATCCCAGGGACTAAGATGATCTATCGGCTCTCTGATGCTGCTGGTGAGTTGGGTCCTCCTTGTCCCTGTCCTACCCCCTTAACCTGCTCCATAACCCTGTCCCCGATGCCCTGTGCACTCTGGTCTCTAACACGGTCCCCCTGCAGGTCACCCCTTCATGGACCTCATGGCACTGGAGGAGGAGCCCTCACCCAGAGCAGGGCAGGAGCTGGTGGTCCGTGTCCTGGGGCAGCTTGGTGAGACCAGCAAGGTCGTGCCCGCCGCCGTGGAGCCCCTCCATCGCACCTACTTCAGAGATGGGCAGGTCAGGGGTGGCTCTGCTGGTCCTTCCTGTTGGGTGAAGGACCAAGCCACAGTGGTGGTGTCTTGGCCACCATAGATCAAACGGTTAAATCCCTGTGTTTCCTTGCGTCTGAGATGGTCCCCGCTCCAACCAAGGTGCCACCAAGCACGTGGTGCCATCAGAGTCCAGCCTGGAGCTGACTCACTGAGGACTGGGGCTTGGTGACCATCTCCACCCATGGTCCTGGTGATACATCTCTGTCCTTGTAGGTGTGTGAACCCCTGCCCAGCCTCACCGAGGTGAGGGCCCACGCTCAGGTGTCCCTCGGCCTCCTCAACCCTGCTCACCGCCGGCTCCGTGACCCACAGCCCTACCCGGTATATCCATTATGGCACCATCAATCCACACCCAGGAGCCCTGCCCAGCACTGGTGGCCTGAGCATGGCTCCACCAGAGCGTGGAGATGGGGCTGTGCATCCCCATGGGGCTCATTGTCCACTCTTGCTCCCTTGTAGGTGGCTGTGACTGAGAAGCTGCACCAGCTCCTCACCACGCTGCAGCAGGCCAGCCAGTGAGGAGCTCCCTGCTCATCCCCTGCTTGGGACCAGCTCTTCTTCATGCTCTTTTGAAGGCCAAGTGACTACATTGGGAATCAATGGCTTCAACAGCTGCGTGCTGCTCACCTGAAGACCCTGCAGGAAGTGGAAGAGCACCCAGAGATGCCAAAGCTGGGATGAGGCAGGTGGAGCTGGGAGATCCTTCTGGAAGGGATGGTCCTTCCCTGCCCACCCTGGTGACCCTGCACCTTCTCCCATGATGGTGCTGCCAACATCAATGCTCCTGCAAACCCTGTGCCTTCTGTTGTGGCATTGCCCACCGTGCCTAACAGCATGCCAGCTCTGCACCTTCAGTGGTGGCAGCTCACACTGAAGCTCCTCAGTGGCACTAGAATCCAAGTCCTAAGTGCACAAGAAGGGATCCTACCATGGGAATGTCCTCTGGGACATCCCTGGCAGATGCACTTTGCCCTTTCTCTTTAGGCTTTGGCTCTGTGGCCACATTCCATCTCTTCCCATTTTACATGGGGGTGGAGGTCACCTCCTGGTTGATGCCAGCTCCATGTTGGCACCTGCACTCTGCAACCTCATGTTCCTTAATCCCTGGAATTAGCTTTATTCTATGCAAGAGATTAAATAAAAGCCTTTAGCCAACTACAATCACCCCATGGGGCTGTCCTGGTCCTTCCAACCACTTGTGGCCTTCAACTGGAATGTAACATCCTTCACTTCACTGTTTATGACTGAATAAAGGTGGCATGAAAAGCAGAGTGTTGAGCTAAGAGAAGAGCTGGGGGTGACTCCAGCTGCCATATGTCATCCTACGGAGATGCTGTTCTAGTCTCTGAACCTAATTCCAATGAAAATCCCACTGTAGCTCCACTGGGGTAGGGTCAGTGAGTGGTTGAAGGCTTCAGCAAAACAGGGTCAAGAAAAGCTGGGTGTGGAATGGGAAAGAAACCTGCAGAGACTTGATCTCCCTGCCCCATCCCTGGCAGTGTTCAAGGCCAGGTTGGATGGGGCTTGGAGCAAGCTGCTCCAGTGGAACGTGTCCCTGACCATGGCAGGGATTTGGAACTGGACGAGCTATAAGGTCCCTTCCAACCCAAACCATTCCATGTTTCCATGTTAAATCTGCAAGAGGGAGATTGTAAATCCTTCCCCCTGAGCTTGTAAAATGTACGGACCCAAAAGTGTCATGTACCCATGGAAAAGGTGGAACGAGGACAAGAGGCAAATGCCCAACCACCCACCTGCATCATCCACCCTCCAAGGAACAGTTGTGGTTTAGGTCTTTGCAGCACACATTGAGAAGGGGAAGAACTTGGAGCTTAACAAAGCCCTGGGTGATGGTCCTTGTGTCCAGACAGGGCTGGAGGTCACTGGTGCAGTGCTCCAGCTGGGTCACACTGAGCATGCAAAGAGAGAAACCACAGAACTCCAGGAAAACCAGGAACAGTTTGCTATTAAAAGTTACATTTTCAGAGCAGAATCCCCCGAGATTGAGAAGTCCAAGCCCAGCATACCTGAGTTGGATGGGCCTGAGGTCTAAGGAGAGGACTGAAGAGCAGCCTGAAGTAGGTGAAGGCAGTGAGCTTCAGCACCCTCAGCCCTCTGCGTGGCCACAGAGGAGCAGCTCATCAGTGCAGAAGAAGGGTAAACCCATCCTTGGGATCACCTGCTCTCCCCTAACCCTTGTCAGGCTCCACCGCTGGTGCTTTGGCTTTGTCCAGACCCATTTTGGGTACCTCCAAGGATGGAGAATCCGTGACCTCTTTGGAAACCTGTACCAGAGTCTGTCATCCCCATGGTGAAGAAGCCTTCCATGACGTTGAGGGAACCTCCTGGGTTTTCCTTTGTGCCCTGGGGCTCTGGTTCCATCACTGGGCACTATGGAGAAGATCCCGTCCTCTTTGCACCCTCTCTTCAGACACTGATGAGTTTCCCTGGAGCCTTCTCCTCTCCAAGCTGAACAGTGCCAACTCTCCGAGTGCTTCCTCATGGGAGAAATGCTCCTGTCCATCTTCATGGCCCTTCATTGGACTCTCTTCATCCCTTGTACTGGGGAGCTCCAATGGGATCCAATAGTCCAGTTGTGGCCTTATCCATGCTGAGCAGAGGGGAAGGATCCTCTCCCTCACCTCCTGGCACCACTATTGCAGCCCAGGACATTGTCCACCTTCTCTGTCCTCATGGTCAACTGAGGGTTGAGGCTCAAATGCTCAACAGAGACAGTTAGAAGCTGAATTGACATTTAATGTCTGGTAACAACCTGGGGCCATCACATACAGACACGAGACACCCCAGGAAGCAGCTACAACCATCAGGCTGTTGAGGTCCCCTTTAGCATCACAACCTCTGCTGTCAACCAAAAGAGAAGCTAAAGCTGCACCCTGCACTGAAGAGGGAAGAGGAGGAGGGGGATTCCAGCTGCACATCTGGGGCTCCTGGATGCATCCATTGAGGATCTGGGATCATCACTGACTCCTGTAACAGCTTCCTCCTGCCGTGACAGCATGACCTTAATGGCAGAGAACCTCCAGTGTGCACATTTATTGAGTTGAAGGAATAACAGTTCCCAGCCCGAGACCTTTCTCCAGTCAGCAAATCCAAGAGGGCTCCTTTCTGCCCTTGGAGTTGTTATTGGTCTTTGGATCTCAGGAGTGGGTGCAGAGATGGGACAGAAAGTGCTAAAAGTGAGGTTAAAACACCCCACCAGGCAGCAGCAGTGCAGCCTTTGCATGAGGAAGTAAAACACATTGTTCCTCTGTTCCTTTGCACGAGGCAGTAAAACACATTGTTCCTGTTCCATCTTTCTTCCAGTTTTGTTATGGACAGAAACATGGATTTTAAAACCTATTTGCAGGTCAAGACATCCAGTGACCTCATGGTTGAAAATAGGGACGGGGGGGTACAAGTGCCAGAGTTTAGTGCTGGATAAGGGAAGTGCAGCCACAGGGACCCACCTTTAGGTGTGGGGCACAACCCAGACCTCAAGGAACCCTCATCCTGACCCACCTCTTCACAACGTGGTGCAGTTCACAGCTCCTGGGTTTCTCACTGCACAAGTCCATGTGAAGATGGGTTATGCAGGGCCATGCTGTGGGTTTTTGTGCTCCTTGCAAACCTGAGGAGAACCGTTCCTGTCGATTAAATACTGGTCCTCAGCTGGATAACTGTCCATGTTTTCCTTAAATGCTGGTCCTTATCTCATCAGTGGAAGGGAGAAAAGGATGTTGGGGAGGACTCTGAGGTAGGGCAGAGCTACAAAGTGGGGAAGAAAGAGAGAGGAAAGGGAAGGGAGGAAAGAAGAATGGATTTGAGTGTGAAGAATCCAGAATCCAGGTCTGCTGCAGGTACAAACTTTCACATGACAGGATTTAACTAACCCAGGCTGCTGTGGACACCTTCATACCAGACAGCGGCAGAGGCAAGAAGAGGCTCAAGTGCACGTTTGGTGTACCCAGACTTGGCTGCTCTCCCTGGTGCCAAGCTCCAGGGTTGATCCATGTTCATGTTTCCAACACCTCAGTACTCTGCAGCACCAGGGTCACTTGTAAAGTGCCATCTTCTTGCTCTGGTACATGTACATGTAGGCATCACAGAAGAGGCGCTTGGCCACTCCATCCATGTCCCGAGGCTGCTTCAGAGCCAGCGCAGCCAGTGGCAAGTCCAAGTACTTGGCAACTTCAGGGCACAGTGTTACTGTGGGAATGTTGAAGCCATTTTCACCACCTACGAGAGAAAGAAGAAAAGTCCAAACCAGGTCCTAAGGGACCTACAGCTCAAGCAGCCACCTTCATTAATGGGTTCAAACTTAAACAGGGGAAGTTCAGGTCTAACTTCAAGTTCTTTAAGGGTTTTCTTTACTGAAGGGGGGCTATAGGGATGCTGGGGATGGACTCTTCATTAGGGACTGTAGTGACAGGACAAGGGGTAACGGGTTAAAACTGAAACAGGGGAAGATTAGATTGGATATAAGGAAGAAATTCTTTACTGTGAGGGTGGTGAGGCACTGGAATGGGTTGCCCAGGGAGGTTGTGAATGCTCCATCCCTGGCAGTGTTCAAGGCCAGGCTGGACAGAGCCTTGGGTGACATGGTCAAGCATGAGGTGTCCCTGACCATGGCAGGGGTTTGGAAGCAGATAACCTTAAGATCCTTTCCAACCCTAACTATTCTATGATTCTACTGTAAGGGTGGTGAGGCACTGGCACAGGGTGCCCAGGGAAGTGATGAATGCTCCATCCCTGGCAGTGTTCAAGGCCAGGCTGGACAGAGCCTTGGGTGACATGGTCTAGCATGAGGTGTCCCTGCCCATGGCAGGGGTTTGGAAGTGGATAACCTTAAGATCCTTTCCAACCCAAACCGTTCTATGATCACACTCAACACTCAGTGTGGTGCCCCAACCTGAGAGCTCTGGAGGTCAACCCCAAAGTGGGGATGTGTCCTCACCGTGCCTGTCAGCCATGCTGTCGAAGAACATCCAGTGGTCATTCTCAGGGCCATACTTCACAAAGGAGACGTAGTGACTGGTCTCGATGCAGAGCACTGCAAAGAGCTCCATCTTCTCATGAGGGACCTGCTGGCAGCCCCGGGCGCTCCGGGTGCGGAATTCCTCTGGGATGTGAAGCTCTCTTGGCTTGTGCGTTTTGCGGTGGTAGTGGGAGTGAACCTGAGGAGAGAGGATTTGAGGGGTTGAAAGTGGATGATCTTAAGGTCCACAGACCCAACCCAGTCTGTGATGGGGTGGCACTGCTGAGAGAGTAGAATTGAACTTGTCCTGCCACAAAAAGGAGGGTGCAGGGGTCAGACCCAGTTCACTATTCCCCACTGATCTGACTCTCATGGTCCCTGCGTGGTAGGGAATGACATTGCCTCATCAGGCTTCATAGAATCATGGGATCTATGAACTACAGGTTCCAGTTTCAACCCCCTGCCACAGGCAGGAACACTTTTCACTGGAGCAGCTTGCTCCAAGCCCCTGTGTCCAACCTGGCCTTGAACACTGCCAGGGATGGGGCAGCCACAGCTTCTCTGGGCACCCTGTGCCAGCGCCTCAGCACCCTCACAGGGAAGAGCTTCTGCCTAAGAGCTCAGCTCAGTCTCCCCTCAGGCAGGTTCAAGCCATTCCCCTTGGCCTGTCCCTACAGGTCCTTGTCCCAAGCCCCTCTCCAGGTTTCCTGCAGCCCCTTTAGGCACTGGAGCTGCTCTAAGGTCTCCCCTTCAGGAGCCTGCTCTTCTCCAGGCTGCCCCAGCCCAGCTCTCTCAGCCTGGCCCCAGAGCAGAGCTGCTCCAACCCTCGCAGCAGCTCCATGACCTCCTCTGGACTCTCTTCAACAGCTCCACGTCCCTCTTGTGCTGCTGCCCCCAGAGCTGGATGCAGGACCCCAGGTTTGGCAGCAGGAAGTGGAGATAGGAACTTACCACTCTCTAAGGTAGGTCAGAAAGCTGTTGCTCCTGGTGGGACAGCATGGAGGGCTCAGTGCTCTCTTTGTGCTTATTTAGGCTCTGTGTAAGCAGAGGGTTCAGTAACGTGTGGCACCTAACCAGCTCATGCTGCTGATGTGATGCTCAGGGAGAAGCCCTGAACGTTCCTTCTGAAATGCTGCAGGGACAGCATGGGAAATGAAGGAATTCTGGGGGGTTCAATCTGCTGTCAGCACCAAGGCAGGTTTGATGAGCAGCCAAGGATGATGAATACCTGTCTGGAGCAGGAGCTGCAGAACTGCTTCAGGCCTGTAGCTGCAAACACCTTGTCTTTGAAACACTCTGAACACTCCAGGGTGGCAACATCTCCACACAAGCAGCATTCCCTGGGACCTGCAAGAGAACAGGGGTGAGGAAATCGCTCTCCTCCAGATCTCACCTGAACTCCAGCTTGTCCTGCCAAAACTGGTGTTCAGGGAAGTAGAATCCTACCATGATCCCACCCCACAGAGGTGAGACCTGTCACCTGACTCCTCACAGGCCCAACCAGCAGCTTTAACACATCCCAACTTACTGTCAAGCAGCAGATCTGTTATATCCAGCTCCAAGGAAGGAATGATTTTGCTGAACATTTTGTATTCCTTCCCAAAACGTGGCATTTGGATTATGAAGCATGATGGGATCTGGGAAAAGAAAGACAAAGAAGTCACCCTGTGAGAAGAACCAAGCTCCAGAGACTCTCCTCTCCACATCGCTGCTGGGAGTAAAGGCTTTTTGCTCAGGTCACAAGATGAAATGGCAACAGGGAAAGCACAGCCCTCTTCCCAGGTCATGCTGAGACTTCTAAGGCTCTTGTGACTGTATCCTGCTTCTTTGTAGTGTTGGATACCAGACTCCAGGATACCAGGCACAAGTATGTTGGAGGAAGCAAGAAAGAGGCAGCAGAGAGCAGTGTAGGCAGAAGGCTCTGGGCTCACCTCCACTAGCTTCAGATCAGAGGACAGGAAGGAGCGTTCCACTAACTGCTGCACGTCAGGAACCACCAGATCCTCCTGTTTGTCCATAAATATCTGGTAACAGTAACAGTCCTGCTCCTTCTGGCCTCCTGACCTGCAAGGAGTGGGCATGGGGCTTGTTTATGTGGTGCCACAAACACTGGAGCTCCCAAACATACAGGGTTCGTCCTTCAAGAGCTACTGCGCCCAAGGCACCAAAGGGCTGCTTAGTGCAATGCTGACACGAAGCTGTTTTTCTACCCAGAAATACTGATTTCTCAGCCTGGAGGAGAGAAGCTGCGTGGAGACCTCAGAGCAGCTTCCAGTGTCTGAAGGGGGCTACGAGGATGCAGAGAGGGACTCTTCATCCGGGACTGGAGTGATAGGACAAGGGGTGATGGGTTCAAACTGAAACAGGGGAAGTTCAGGTTGGAGATAAGGCAGAAGTTGTTCCCTGTGAGGGTGCTGAGGCACTGGCACAGGGTGCCCAGAGGAGCTGTGGCTGCCCCATCCCTGGCAGTGTTCAAGGCCAGGCTGGACACAGGGGCTTGGAGCACCCTACTCTAGTGGAAGGGGTCCCTGCCCATGGCACAGGTTGGAACTGGGTGAGCTTTAAGGTCCTTTCCAACCCAAACCATTCCATGATAAATAACTGCCATAAGAAGCACCATCTTCGGTCTCATTATCCCTCCATAGCATCACATCTTGCTCCTGTGAGCAAAACTCATTTCCCCTGCTTGATGGAAATATTAAAAAAGGCTTCAACGTGCTTTAAACCAAGTGCAATGGAGCAGAATCAAATTCCTCCTCAGATGAAGGCTCTATTTATACCTTCACACACAAACCTCAGTGCATTCAGGAGGTGTGGGAGATGTTCTGCACGTCACCCACCCCCTGCAGCCCTAAGCCACCAGAGAAAGGATTTCCTTCAGCTGACCCTGTGCAGAGGAGCTGCAGCACAGAGTCATCTTTGTGCTCAGCCTTTCCAAGCACTCCATGATCTGCAGCTTGACTGACACCTCAACAAAGCAGCACAGAAAGCAAACAATCCTCTTCTGTGCTCCTCAAAAGCACAGTTATTTTTGGCTTCCTTCAGCCTCTCATCCTCTTTGTGGAGCCCTGAAAATCTGGGAGCGCATCCATGGAGTGCCTGTTTGAGAGGCTATGGGATCGGAGCCAGCTTAGCAGGTCTGGACACATCCCAAACACATCCAAAGGCTGTCAGATGTTTCTTGCTCTGCACTGAAGTTGGACACTGTGTTTCTCAAAGCACTTGCTGGCTCTCCCTGAGGGTGACACAAGGGGTTTAGCACAGTTCTCTGAAGGTGGCACCTCCAAGGAGTGTTTAAGAGTGCCTTTACCTGGACGTGTCACCTGGAACAAGATCACAGAGAGGAGCTGCATACAACTCACTGAGCTGTGTCTCTAGAGCCACAATGAAAGGGTGTAAATAACACCCAGTGATGGTGAGGTGGTAACTAAGAGCCTGAGTAAGATGTATCACTTGGATATGAACACTTACTGCAGTTTCAAGAGTGGTTCTATCCCCAGAATCTGATGCATGATGAGATTGAGGAATTCCTCAGGATCTGGAAAATGAAACAAAGACATAGGTCACACCACACCAGAAATGCTATGACCTCACTGAAGGCAAAAACCTGCCAGATAAACATGAACCAGCATTTGCTGAACCTGGAATGTCCTGGTTCACTCTAGGTAAGGGGAAAATGAGGCTAAAAGTAATGCATGCAGCAGGCATGCTAATGCACATGCCTGGAAGCAGCACACAGTGAAGCTGTCAGCCTAGATGAGGCAGCACACAGGGAATCAAACTAGGGAAGGCCCAGAGAGCATCTTACCTTTCTCAGCATTGGTAAAGCTTGAGCACTGGCCCTTGTCAGTCAACTGCTCCCTGAGGTGCATCACACTCTTGGCATTGACAAAGCCAGTCCTAGAAACAAGAACTAGTTGTAGATGATCTCTCCAAGGTATTTAAATCATGAAATTATAGAATCATTGAATGGTATGGGTTGGAAAGGACCTTAAGATCATCCAGTTCCAACCACCTTGCCATGGGTAGGGACACCTCACACTAAACCATGTCACCCAAATGGTTCAGGTTGGAAGGGACCTTAAAGCTCATCCAGCTCCAACCCCTGCCACGGGCAGGGACCCCTTCCACTAGAGCAGGGTGCTCCAAGCCCCTGTGTCCAACCTGGCCTTGAACACTGCCAGGGATGGGGCAGCCACAGCTTCTCTGGGCACCCTGTGCCAGCGCCTCAGCACCCTCACAGGGAAGAGCTTCTGCCTAAGAGCTCAGCTCAGTCTCCCCTCAGGCAGGTTCAAGCCATTCCCCTTGGCCTGTCCCTACAGGCCCTTGTCCCAAGCCCCTCTCCAGGTTTCCTGTAGCCCCTTTAGGCACTGGAGCTGCTCTCAGGTCTCCCCTTCACACAGCAGAGGGGCAGAATCCCCTTCCTGACCTGGTGCTCATGCTCTGGGGATGCAGCCCAGGATGCAGTTGGGTTTTGGGCTGCAAGTGCACACTGTCCCATTTTTCATCCCCAAATCCTTCTCTGCAGAGCTGCTCTCACCAAATCTGAGCATCACAGAACACCCCAGGGTTGTATTTCTATATATTCACATGCATCAGTGCCAGGACACCTCAGGGAAGATGCTAATGTCTGATGTTCAGCTCTCCGTGCCTCTCTTCCACACCTCCCTAGGGAGGATGAGGAAAGAACCTGGTATCTTTGATACAAATGCCAAAGAATTTAGCCTCATGCCGTGGTTTCCTCTCATCCAGCCTGGCACTGACACTCCTGTTGGGCCTAATTGCTGGCTCCCTCCAAAGGTGGTCTGAATCCCAGGAATCCTCCTTTTATGAGGCTTCCTTCTAAGCAGGAGAGCCTCATGCACATGCAGGAGGAGTTGTGACAGCCTTAGAACACAGGGAATGGTTTAACTGGAAGAAGAACCCAATATGAAGCCCTTTGGCTGTGGCTGGCAGGAGAAACCCTCCAGGCAATCCTTCCCTTAATGACAGGTACCATCTAGAAGGGCAGCAGAGAAGGTGTGAAGGGAGATGAATGACTTCCAGGATTCCCACATATTATACTCACCTTCGGAGGGGATTAACAATCTCATCCCTCAGAATGCTCTGGACGTTCCTATCACACAGCTGGAAGGGCTTGAAGAGCATGGAGTCCACCACAGATGTACAGGAGAAGAGGCTGTGGAAAGAGAGGGATGGGTGTAGTATTTGCAGCAATAGCTAGAACCAAACCATTGTGCCTGGTGACACTTGGTGGCTTTGATTCTCAACAGTCCATGCACGCAGTTGCAGAAGGGTGAGTGGCAGCACATCTCCAGGGTGAGAGAAACCACATCAGGTTTAATGAGCACTGGTAGGAAGCAAGAAACAGCTCCAACAGCTCAGGCACAGTGAGATCTCGTACTTTGCAGCCCAAACTGCTCAGGAGGGGGCACCACTGAGGCTTTTTTCCTCTCCAAACAGTGAAGCTGGGATCTCTTGGGGTGGTTTCTTTGACACGTTTCCAGCCAATACCTCCAGTGACAATGTCAGCACGGTGCCAGGATCTCTCACCACCCTACTTGACAGACACACGGTACCTTAGGTGCTGGATCAGCACCAGTGTGGCAACAGGACCAGGGCACAACTATCCCCATGTGATGGGCACTGGTGAGGCTGCACCTCAACTCCTGGGTTCAGTTCTGGACCCCTCACTACAAGAGAGACATTGAGGTGCTGAAGTGGGGCCGGAGAAGGGCAATGGAGCTGGTGCAGGGCCTGGAGCACAAGTGTGATGGGGAAGGGCTGAGGGACCTGGGGGGTTCAGTCTGGAGAAGAGAAGGCTCAGGGGGGACCTGATGGCTGCCTCCAAGTGCCTGACAGGAGGATGGAGCCAGGAGGGGCTGGGCTCTGCTCCCAAGGAACAAGGGATGGGACAAGAGGAACCGGCCTCAAGCTGCACCAGGGCAGGTTTAGATGGAGCTGAGGAACAATTCCTGCCCCAGAGGGTGCTCAGGCATTGGAACAGGCTGCCCAGGGCAGGGCTGCAGTCACCGTCCCTGCAAGTGTTCACACAGCGTGGAGACGAGGCCTCAGTGCCATGGGTTAGTGGTGGCCTTGGCAGTGCTGGGGAATGGCTGGACCGGGTGAGCTTAAAGGGGCTTTTCCACCCTGGCTGATTCTGTGTGTGATTCTGTGTGTACACACAAGGGGTACTCCAGGGCCTGAGAACAAACCCGCTCAGAATTCCCAGGAAATGCGGCAGTTTAGGGCTCTATCCAATTCACAAAGCACTCATTTAATCAGCTGGCATCATCCAAACAGGTCCTTACCTGAAGAGAGCTGCATCCATATAGCAGGAATTACAATGGCCTTGTATCCCCTTCATCCGCCCTCGCAGGACACGCACTGCTGCCTCGTTCCTGAGAGGAGGAAAACTGTCTGGAGCCTGGGGAAGAACTTCTTGTCCTCCTGCAAAGAGAAGCACCTCCTTTGAGCTTCCCACCTCGTCTGGCTCAGCTCTGACCTTCCCTGATGCCATTCCCTGTTCAGAAGTCAGCACCAGGCTCCTCTGTGCTGCTCCTGACGGGATTTCAGCCACACTGGGATGAAGAATTGTCTCAGTAATTTCTCTACTGTAATCAGAGCCAAAACAAAACCAGAGACATATCCTGCCAATCCATACCCACCTCTGCCAGGTTTAACAAAGAGCTACAAATGAGCTGGTGCTATGTGATATGGAAGGTTAGGATCTACCTGTCCTGTAACCCCAGGAGCAAGGGGACAAACAGGCAGCTGTGCTATAATAGCCTCATCCTGCTGGTCTGTCATCTCAAGCTTCCAAGGTGGCCTCAATCTGCTCTTGCCTGGTTTCTTCAGCGTTCTCCCCTTGTAATTCAATCCTCTCTCTTCAGCATGTCCTTAAGACAGTTTCCCATGTCCCTGTTTCCAGTTTTAGGGATGTTCCTAGAGGAATCCTGCTGTCTCATCTCCAGTCATCTCATTTACTGTTTCTAAATGGTTAGTTCATGTTGCCTTCTGTGCTCTGGAGGAATTTCTTCCTATTGAAATGAAAATACTGACCTGTTCTTCTTGTGATGGACTTACCATCACATCAAATTCTGCACTAAAGTTGATTTAATCCCGTCTCCCTTTCCAAGGGCATTCCCTGTAATTACCATCAGCATCCTTAAAACTGCCATCTTCTGGAACACTTGAAGTAAGAATATTAAACCACTGATTAAGACACTGTCTAGGAGGTTTCTCCATAGTGTGCCTTGTCCCAGCACAGCCCAGTTTCCCTTCTCCCTAGAGTGGGCCCTTGTGAACCTCATGAGGCTCAACAAGGCAGAGTACAATGTCCTGCATGTGGGCTGGGGCAATCCCAAGCACAAACACAAGCTGGGTTGAGATGGAATGGAGCAGCCCTGAGGAGGACTTGAGAACCCAACATGACCCAGCAGTGTGTGCTTGAGCCCAGAACCTCCTCATGTGCTGGCCTACACCCCCAGAGCATGAGCAGGTCAGGAAGGGGATTCTGCCCCTCTGGGCTTGAAGTGGAAACCTTAGGGCAGCTCTAGTGCCTAAAGTGGCTATGGGAAACCTGGAAGAGGGTCTTTGGACACGGGATGGAGACAGGCCAAGGGGAATGGCTTGAACCTGCCAGAGGGGAGACTGAGATGAGCTCTGAGGCAGAAGCTCTTCCCTGTGAGGGTGTTGAGGCGCTGGCACAGGGTGCCCAGAGAAGCTGTGGCTGCCCCATCCCTGGCAGTGTTCAAGGCCAGGTTGGACACAGGGGCTTGGAGCACCCTGCTCTAGTGGAAGGGGTCCCTGCCCATGGCAGGGGTGGGACTTGGTGAGTTTTAAGGTCCCTTCCAACCACAAACCATTCCATGATTCTATCTTACCATAATCTATGAGGCTCAAATAACTGCTGTGTGAACTCTGGAAGCGAACATCGGGCTGGCAGCACTGAAGCTTCACGAAGAGGCCACGCTTGGGAGCACAGTGGAAGTAGTATTTGCCCAACCATTCACCATCACTGACCCCCTTATCTTCATCCTGGGAAAAACGCAGTGAGGAATAGCATCAGAGCACAAATCTTCCATATGGCCATCTAACATCTTAAGAGCCATGTGGTTTTATCCCATTTGTTGGCTGTTTCTATCCCTGGCAGGGTTCAAGGCCAGGTTGGACAGAGAATTGGGTGACATGGTCTAGTGCGAGGTGTCCCTGCCCATGGCAGGGGGTTGGAACTGGATGATCTTAAGGTCCTTTCCAATCCAAACTATTCCATGATTCTATGATTAATCTATTCTGGTCATGTGTTGAATCTACTGATGCCACTTGTAGGATTCATGATTATTCCATCCCACATTCCAATCACAGTGTTCTGGAAGAGAGTGAACCAACCCTCATAATCACCTCACAAAATCCCCTCCCCAGCCTAAAGGAAGGCCCAACTGGCTGCTTGTCCTCACAATTCACTCTCCAGTACATCAGAGGCCCACATTAGGCTGTGAAACACACAAGCAGAAGGTCTTAAAAGAGAAAAGCAACCAAGAGCAGCCCACTCTGATGCCCCATTTCCCAGCAGGAAATGTTTGCTCCTCACCAGTTCCACTCCTGCCATCTTGTGCTCAATTTGGGGCAGGTAGCCCAACCAGCGGATGATTCCTGAAACCCGAGTTCCTTTGTCCAAGGTGATCTGGACCATGGAGTTCACTTCCAGGGCTGAATTCCCCCCGTCACACTCCTCACTGCTCTCACTGACCTCTTGTTTCATCTGGTTTGGGGGTTCCAAGCCCATGTTGGACTCAAAGGGTGAAAATAAACCTGGTGGGTAATACAGAATGTCAAGTGAGGTAGGAATGACAGATACCTGATGACGAACATCTCTGGATCTTCTTTAATACCAGGTCTCCTTTGAAACTCAAGCACAAAGCCCAGCATCAGAGACACAAGGTATAATTCCCAGTGATATGGCCAAGCTGGTCTAACAGGCTAAAAGGGGATGATCCTGCTCCTTGTTTCCCTGCTCAAGGCTGCGCGGTCCAGTCTCTTGCTGGTCCTGGAGCTAATCCAGCCCTTCCCTGAACTACTGGAACAGCAGCAGGGGGTCATTCCCAAATTATTCTTCTGCCTTTAGTGAGATGAATCAACTCAGTGAAGAATCTAATGATGGCTCCAGAGAGATTCCACTGAGGTCTTGTACAGTGACTCAACCATCACTGTGCTTTTCCAAGTCTTTCTGGCATCAGGATGAGGCTCCTGCTCCATATTCGCCAGGTAAATTAAAGACTCTTCAAGCACTGGTGCCTCTTCCTTTAAGAAATACTTCAGCCCTTCAATTACACCCTCTCTTCTTCTTTCTGTCAAACTCATCTTTAGTTGCCTAATGCAAAGAATGCTACCCAGAGAGACTTTTCCATGGAGCTTCTTTGCCTCCTGATTAACCGAACTGGGTTTAGCTGAAGATTTTGTTGGATCTTCAGCTCATCAGAGAGAAGAAATAAACCCCAGGAACACAGGAAAGACACATCTGATGATAACTTACTTTGCAAGTTTTCCTTCACAACAGAATCCAGAGGGATTTCTCTGAAAATGTCAGTTGTTCCTTCTTCTTCCTGAAAGGAGAGAAGAATTCATCAGCTAAATGCTTTAGCAGCTGTAAGGCATTCCTGGAATATGAAGCAACTATTCAAAAAGGCCTGGAAGGTTTGCATGGAACCTCATGTCCCTTTTAGGATGGGTGGAGAAGTGATTCAGAGCAGCCCGAGGAGAAGGACTTGGGGTGTTGGGTGAGAAGCTCTCCATGACCCAGCTTCAGTGTGTGCTTGAGCCCAGAGCCTCTCCATATCTGGACTGCACCCCCAGAGTGTGAGCAGCAGCTCAGGGAGGGGATCCTGCCCCTCTGCTGCATGAAGGGGAGACCCCACTTGCAGCACTGGGTGCAGTTCTGGTATCCTCAGCATAAGAAGGACATGGTGCTCTTGGAACAAGTCCAGAGGACACCACAAGGATGAGCAGGGACTGGAGCACCTCCTGTATGGAGACAGGCTGAGAATATTGGGGCTGCTCAGCCTGGAGAAGAGAAGCTGCGTGGAGACCTCAGAGAAGCTTCCAGTATCTGAAGGGGTTGCAAGGATGCTGGAGAGGGACTCTTCGTCAGGGACTGCAGTGATAGGACAAGGGGTGATGGGTTCAGACTGAAACAGGGGAAGTTCAGGTTGGAGATAAGGCAGAAGCTCTTCCCTGTGAGGGCGCTGAGGCGCTGGCACAGGGTGCCCAGAGAAGCTGTGGCTGCCCCATCCCTGGCAGTGTTCAAGGCCAGATTAGACACAGGGGCTTGAAGCAACCTGCTCTAGTGTGAGGTGTCCCTGCCCATGCCAGGGGGTTAGAACTGAATGATCTTAAGGTCCTTTCCAACCCAAACCATTCTGTGACTTCCACCTCCTTAAGTCCCCCAAACCCAAGACAAGGCATCAAGGCTGCTCTTACCGGACAGATTTTAACAAGCCACTGGGTTCCCTTCCTATAAACTTCCATGGCTATTCCTTTGGTGAGGACCTCATCCACAAAGAAGCTAACTGCATCTCCCACTTTCACAGGGACTACCTCCTCCGTGTCTGCTTTTGGCTTCTGCTTCCCATAGTTGTCATCTGGAACAAACTGGACTTTGGTAAATGGCAGGAAGATCCCACAGTTCTTCTTACACTTGAAATACTCCGTGCCACGGCAGGACCCATCACTGCGCCCTCTGTTTTCTCCTTCACCCTGAAAACAGGATGGAAAACCATATTACACACAGAAAACACAAAGGGAAAACAAGGAAGTCCCTTTCTTGACGCCTTTACCTGCAACTCCACCCCAAAGAAGAAGGGAGACAACACAGCAGTGCTTCTATAAATGCTCCCAATATAACGGATGATTCCAGGGAAATACTGGTGCTCAACCTTAGCCATCACCCTGTGGCCAGGCAGAGCCCTCAGAGCTGCCTCGAGGTTCACCCTGTCCAAGAAGCAGTTCAACCTTTCACAGTGGCTGCTGACGGCCAGGAGGAAGGAGGCCACCTTCTCAGGCACAGGTTGAAGGATCTCCATGTTGATGGTGACCGTGGAGCTGTCATCCAACATGATGACCCTCAAGAAGCAAGTGGGGCGTCTGTCGTCAGAGAAGTTGCGCAGGTAACTCCTCTCGCTGCAGAAACACAGGTTTCCAGCTTGGAACAACTTGCTGCCATAGGAACAGTCTTCGGTCAGGATGTAATAGCAGTTGCCATCTCCTGAGCAAGGCGGGAGGTTGGTCATCGTCATTCCCCTGGGTTGTGAGAAATGAGATGGTCACACAGGTGAAGATACAGGGATGTTATAGAGTCAGAGAATCAACCAGATTGGAAAAGACCTTGAAGAGCATCAAGTCCAGCCATTATTGTAGGATCTAAGAAGAACGTAGGTGGAAGAGGCCTCAAGACCAACCCCATGCTTGAAGCAGGTTGCTCAAAGCTTCACCTAGTTGAGTTTGGAGCATCTCCAATGACAGAGATCCCACAACATCCCTCATTGCTTTGGCCAATGCTTCATCACCCTTATCGTGAAAATAGAAAGAAATTCCATCTGTCCAAGGTTTCCCCATGTTCCTGCTCATCCCTGTTGCCTCCTGTCCTCCCATTGTGCATCCACGGGAAGAGTCTGGCTCTGTCTTCTCTACTAAACCCTATCAACAAGAAGCTGCACAAAGCAGCATCCCCTCATCTGTCTGTTCTCTATGACACTGCACTGCTTCTCTGAGCACCCTGTGCCAGCGCCTCAGCACCCTCACAGGGAACAGCTTCTGCCTAAGAGCTCAGCTCAGCCTCCCCTCTGGCAGGTTCAAGCCATTCCCCTTAGCCTGTCCCTACAGGCCCTTGTCCCAAGCCCCTCTCCAGGTTTCCTGCAGCCCCTTTAGGCACTGGAGCTGCTCTAAGGTCTCCCCTTCAGGAGCCTTCTCTTCTCCAGGCTGACCCAGCCCAGCTCTCTCAACCTGGCTCCAGAGCAGAGCTGCTCCAGCCCTCACAGCATCTCCGTGGCCTCCTCTGGATTCACTCCAATGGGTATTAAATGTATGTAAAGAAATCAGAGGTAAATTTTTGTGCTTAATTTGAATCAAATTTGAGCCAAATTCCCACTTCTAGGCCACAGTGGAAAGTAAGAAAGGAAAAAAGGTGCCACCTTGGTAGATGCTTCTTTAAACACTGAAGCAGAGAGAGGAGGAATTGAGCAGATGCAATTAAAGGGAAGCAGAAACACACTCAGGGCATTGCAGCAGGAAGCAGGAATGCAGCTGCTCACAAGACATGGATGGATTGGGAGGAAAACGTAGGCAGAGCTTGCATAGAAAGGCTCCTCAACGCTCCAGGAGGAACCTCACTGGAGATTAATCATGGAATGGTTGGGGTTGGAAGGGTCCTTAAAGCTCATCCAGCTCCAACCCCTGCCATGGGCAGGGACACCTTCCACTGGAGCAGGGTGCTCCAAGCCCCATCCAACCTGGCCTGGAGAGAGCTTAATATTCCAAAGGATCAGGAGAAGAGAAATCACTGCTTGTGCTGGGAAACCATCACCCTGGAGCTTCCCTGGTGTTGGGGGTTGTTGTGGCAGCTTCCTACAGGAGCAATTCCCTCTGGGGAAGTCATGGGGCACTCTATGGGGTTACACGAGAGCAGGAGGCGGAAGAAACCCCTCAGCACGCAGCAGTTCCCTTATTGCCCATCTATGTGACTCGCTGCTGAGGTTTTACAGGCCTGGCAGCAGAGCAAAGGCTTGACATCCTGTGATTCTGAAAGGATGGAGTTAAGGAATAACATCACATGTCCCAACCCCCCCCTCTGCTCACTCTTCCACTTTCAGGACCTTGGTTTTACTTCGCATTTCATTTGGTTTTTAAAGTTCCTTCCCCACAAGGAGACGAGCAAAGAGACCGGCGCAGAATAAAGGGGTTTCCTCATCAAACCACCAGAATTAACCATTTTCCTCACCGAAACCCCAGGAACGAAGCATTTCCAGCATCAAAACCCCAAGAACCAACCGTTTCCCTCATCGAATTCCCAATAATTAACCATTTTCCTGATGAAAACCCAAGAATCAACCTTTTTCCTCACCAGTCCCCCCCCAGAATCAACCACTTTCCCCACCAAAATCCCAAGATTGAAGCATTTCCAGCACCAAAACCCTGAGAATCACCCATTTCCCTCACCAAAACCAAAGAATCAACCATTTTCCTCATCAAATTCCCAACAATCAACCATTTTCCTCATCAAAACCCCACAAAAACAGCGTTTTCCTCCCCAAACCCCAGGAATAAACCGTTTTCCTCACGGAGCCCTAGGAACAAACCGTCCTCCTCAGCAGCCTCGGGAACGGCCCGCTCGGGCCCCACAGCGCACGCACAATCCCCTCCCGGGCTCACATTCACTCCAACGGGTGACCCCGGGGCTTGCGCTGCCCCAAACAGCGCCGAATCTCAACGGATCCCGCACTGGAACCCGGCAGGCACCAAGGAACTGATCTCAATGCGAAGCCGCGGCAGTAAATGGAGCCGCGGGCAGGGTCGGCCCTGAGGTAACGCGGGGGGGAACACACGGCAGCGGCCCCACCGGGCACCAGGGCCGGCTGTGAGGGATGTGCGAGGAGGGGCAGGCACAGGGGAGGCCGCAGGGGGGTACCGGGGGTCTGAGGGGGGGTTCCCGGTGTGGTTCAGGCCCCGTCCCCTCGCTCTCACCCGTCCGCGCCGCCCAGCCCCGCTCTTCCGCGTCAGGCGCCGCTACCACCACCACCACAGCACCGCTTCCGGCCCGCCCCGACTGCCACAGCCAATGGGGAGCGGCGAGGACAGCGAGGGAGCCAATGAAAAGGAGAGGGCGGGGCTAGGCTGACCTATGAGGGTGGTGCCGCTGCGCGGCTCCGCCTCCTGATGTGTTAGAGGGAGGGGCTCCGGGGGATGGACCCGTGTGCCCATGGGCCTGGGTGGCCATAGCCGTGTGTGCTCATGGCCCTGTGTGCCCATGGCCCTGTGTCACTGCATCCCCATGGCCCTGTGTGCTCATGGCCCTGTGTCACTGCATCCACATGGCCCTGTGTGCTCATGGCCCTGTGTCACTGCATCCCCATGGCCCTGTGTGCCCATGGCCCTGTGTCACTGCATCCTCATGGCCCTGTGTGCCCATGGCCCTGTGTCACTGCATCCACATGGCCCTGTGTGCTCATGGCCCTGTGTCACTACTGCATCCCCATGGCCCTGTGTCACTGCATCCCCATGGCCCTGTGTGCTCATGGCCGTGTGTGCCCATGGCCCTGTGTCACTGCATCCCCATGGCCCTGTGTCACTGCATCCCCATGGCCCTGTGTGCCCATGGCCCTGTGTCACTCCATCCTCATGGCCCTGTGTGCCCATGGCCCTCTGTCACTGCATCCACATGGCCCTGTGTGCTCATGGCCCTGTGTCACTACTGCATCCCCATGGCCCTGTGTGCCCATGTCCCTGTGTCACTGCATCCCCATGGCCCTGTGTGCCCATGTCCCTGTGTCACTGCATCCCCATGTCCCAGTGTCCCCATGGCCCCATCACACTGTGTCCCAAGAGCCCTATGTCCTGGCCCCGTATGCCATGTCCCCATATCCCATGTCCCCATAGCCCTGTGTCCCGTGTCCTTGTGACTGTGTGTCACCGTGGCCCTGTGACCCTTAATCCTCATAGCCATGTGTCCCCAGGGCACTGTGTCCTTATGACAGCGTGTCCCATGCCCACATAGTCCCGTGTTCTGTGGCCCCATGACCCTGCATCCCCACAGACATGTGTCAACATGCCCCCCGTGTCCCCATAGCCCTCTTGCTGGTGTGCCCCATGTCCTCATAGTCCTCTGTCCCCGCAGCCACGTGTCCCTGTGTCCCCATAGCCCTGTCACCCTGCATCCCCATAGCCACACCTCCATAGCCTTGTGTCCCTATGGCCCTGTGTCCCATGTCCCCACAGCCGTGTGTCCCATGTTCCCTTGACTGTGTCCCATGTCCCTACAGACCTGTGTCCCCATGGCCCTGTCTCATATGTCTGCATAGCCATGTGTCCCCAGGCCCCTCTGTCCCCACGGCCCTGAGTCCCCATGCCTGTTTCCTGCATCCCCACCGCACCGTATCCATCATCCCTGTGTCCCCACATCCATGGCCTGTGTCCCCTGGTCTGTGCCTCCTGGCCCTCTGCCCTGCGTCCCACGTCCTGTGTCCCTTGTCCTCACTGCTGCTGGGATATATCCTGGGGACAAGGGTGACCCACTGGATCCAGGATCCTGGAGCCACCACCCTGGGGGCAGAGCTGGCACCGGGGACACCAGACCATGGCAGCGGGGTATAAATATTGGCTAAATAGATTTATTTTCATACAAAGAATACACAGATTCCCCCATTGGGACACCCCAAGCCCAGGGGACACCCCGGGATGCCTCCAGGCACCACCTCCACTGGCTTTGCCAGCAGGATCTGTCCCCATCCCAGGGTTTGGTGCCAATGCTGGCATCACCTCGGGGACATCCCTGTCCCATCTTGGTGCCTGTGTCTGCCTGGTGACGGCTAAGGGCACCCTGCCCCATGGGCATCCTCAGGCCTGGTCCCCTGCTCCCTGGTGCCCATGTTGGGGACATCTCTGGACATCCTGGGGTACTCCATTGTGCCCTAATACTGTGGCTGGTCCAGACACCCCCCCACCCGCCCCCCCTGCTGTATGTACACGCTGGATAAAAGAAGAAAATACAGATATTTATAGCCGGGGGAGCAAAATATCCCCCTTTAACCCCCCCAGAGTGTCCCCATCCTGGTGCCCTGCTGCCAGCCAGTCCTGTCCCCTGTCCCCAGGATGGAGGTGGCTGACCCTGCCCCATCCTGGACCAGCCGGGCACCCGTGCCTCAGTTTCCCCATCACTCACAGGGCTCAACCACACCACGCGGTGGTGGGAGAAGGAGGGTGCAGGGTGAAGAAGAGCCATGGTGGCCATCCCATGGGGACAGGGACGTGGCCATGAATCCCAAGGGACACGGGATGAAGCTGGAGGCACTTGGGGTTTACACCTCCCGCTTCGCCCCAGGGGAGAAACCTCACAGGCAACAGTGAAATCCCCTTGTGTCCCCTGATCTGTCACCCCTCTGTCACCCAGCTCCAGCCACCCCACCTCCCTTTGCAGCAGGAGAGGAGGTGGCAGGGGAGGTCCACAACGGGCTGGAGGGCATCTGTCCATCCAGCTCAGCTGCGTTTGGTGACCATCTGCCGGTCCCTCTTCTTCTTCTCCATCAACCTGGTGGGGAGGAGCAGAGCGATGGCCTTTAGGCAATGGCCACACACAAGAGGCACCCCCTGAGGCCACGAGGAGGGGACACTCACTTGCGGTTGCGGACTTCAGTGAGCTCCATGAGCCTCTCCTGGGCTGCCCGGAGCTCGTCGAGGCGCTGCTGGTAGCGGGAGTCGCAGCCGTTGGTGCGCTCGTAGCTGGAGACCTGGTTGGAGAGCTCGCTGGCGCGGTCCCGCAGCTGCTGGATGGACGAGTAGAGGTTCTCCTCGTCTTCCTCCTGCTCCAACACAAGGGGGTGAGGCTGGGGGGATGGACAGGACACCCCAGGGGGCTGCTCCCCCTTGTTCACCATGGGGAAACTGAGGCACAAGGTTCCCCAAGCTGCCTGGGCCACTTGCCTTGGCGTTGATGATCTCGATGTGGATGAGGAGGGCAGCGAGCTCCAGGTCCTCGGTGTAGCTGTTCTTCAGCGGCACTGATCGGTAGCCTGGATACAACACAACACAATGAGCTCAGCACCAGAGAATCACAGAATCAGCTGGGTTGGAAAAGACCTTTAAGCTCATCAAGTCCAACCTGTACCCCAGCACCGCCAAGGCCACCACTAAAGCATATCACTGAGGGCCTCATCTACATGGTTTTTGACCACTTCCAGGGATGGTGACTATCGCTGCCCCAGGAAGCCTGTTCCAATACCTCACCGGGGCCATAACCCTGCTGAGAGCATGATGATGATGACTGCAGGGAGATTGGAATAGGAGAACTGTGAAGGTTCTTCCAACCCAACCTGTTCTATGATTCTATGATCATAGAATCACAGAATGGGTTGGAAAGGACCTTAAGATTATCCACTTCCAAACCACTGCCATGGGCAGGGATGCCTCACACTAGACCAGGTTGCCCAATGCCCTTGAACACTGCCAAGGATGCAGCAATCCCAACTCCCTTTAGCACCCTGTGCCAGTGCCTCACCCCTCTCACAGGGAAGAACTTCTTCCTTATCTCCAACCTGAATTTCCCCCTGTTGAAGTTTAAACCCATCACCCCTTGTCCTACCAAGTGATGATGATGGTGGTGGTGGTGTGGATGGAAGAACCATACCTGTTTTGAGGCCCTTGACAGGGAAGGTGGCTTGTGCCAAGAAGTTGGGGTCACTGAACATGTCCTCCTCATACACCACAAAGCGGAGGAAGGCAAACTCAGGGTTGTTGATGTCAAAGACAAACTGCTTGAAGAGCCAGACAGGGTTGAAGCCGTTGTCAGCTGGAGGGTGAGGAGAGAGTGGAGAGGGTCAGAATGAGACCAGACCCATGGACTTCTCCAGCCTGGCCCCAGCACCTTAGTGGGAGCTGCCTGTCCTCTTCACTCCTCCATGAAACCCCATCATGCACAGAGTGATGTCCAAGAGGACCCCAAAGCCCAGAGTTAGTGTTGTCCCAGCATCCCGGGGTGCTGGCACTGGGTGGAAACATCACCCACATGGACCCTCACCTACAACATCCGTCTTGTTCTTGCTGTTATCATACTCAGAGCCGCACACGTCCACCTCCACAAAGGGACACACGATGCTCCTCCCGTTCTTGGGAAGGTGCCGGGCACCAAGGATCTGTGGGAGGAAGAGGAGGGTGAGATCCAGGCATGCTGGGTGAGGAAGGACTCCTCCAGGCAGCCCCATGGGCTTGCCAAAAGCTTCATGGCCGTAGCTGGCCACACTACAACTTATTTATGATTGAGGTTGATCTTACTTGATTTGACCCACAAAATTACCCAAGAAACTTCTGGATTCATGTCCTGCTCAAGGCTCAGGTGCCTACAAACCAACCCACAACTACCCAAGGGTTGAGAAAGGTGCTTCTGGGCTTGATTTATCTACTTAACCCACCAGCCCCTTGCTCAGGTTAGGCTCAGCTCTGCAGTTTTGGGGTTGTCCCTGGGAAATATGATGCTGCATGAGGAGAATGACCCAGAAACCCAGAAGATCATGGGGTGACAAACTCCATGGAGGAAATACATGGCTGAAACACGTCAAAACCACTCCCAGTTTATCCAAAATGAGTGAGTCCCCATCTCAATGGTGACCACTTCAAGGTAGACTTGCTGTCCTCAACCACTTACCTGCAGCTGGACCGTGATGGGCTCCACGATCTTCAGGCTGTTCTTGTCGAAGGGGTCAAAACTCTCATCCCTC